ATGTTGACTTCCTTGCTGGTTGGAATTGGCCTTTAGCCAAGATCACTAGAGGAAGGTCTGTTTGAAACCAAACTTCACAAACATCTGTTAGTGGAATCAATGGAAGTTTGATTCATCCACAACATGTCTAAATGGCATATCAAATTATTGATTTAAACTTTCAATAGACAGACACTTTTTAATACTGAAACTTTTTGTGGGTTACATGCTTTAAAAACAACTGGGATTTCCAAAGTACACAGTAAGCTCTGGAAAGCCTCTTGACCTGTGAGTATCTAAATGCAATCAATCCCTTTGGACCTTTCCGTGCTTTCAGAAACACTGGAGTCAAATTGGTGAGATTTGTGTTTTTGTCAGTTACCTCTCAACAGTTAAATCATTTAATATATTGCAAGAAAGTGGGGAAAAAAGCTTAATTCTGCATTGCGTTTCTTCCTGGATTCTAGTAATCGCCACATGTAAGCAATATGCCTTTATTATAAATCATGATAGGATTTAAAGTAATGTTTTGTTCTGGACTGAGAGTATTTTGTTTTGTTTTGGGGAACTATGAGAATCTCAGCAAATGAGATTTGAACTGAAATTAATGTTAACCAGATAGATTGGACACCATTACTCCTATATTGATTTCAATTCAAACATTGCAGTACTGAAGGTGTAATGAACTAAAATATTTCAACATGAAATTGTATAGATCATATTTTCGGCAGAATATCTGCATACCTTCGTAAACTAACAAATTTTACCTCGGTGGAATTTCCAGTGTAAAGCTGCAGTTTATATTGTGAATAATAGTGAACAGAATTTCGAAAAGTACTGGGTGACCAAAAAGTTTTGATAACTACCCTAATATCTAAAAAAAATCATGATTTCTTTAAGGTTTATTAGACATTGTAACGGTATGACAACGTTTTGGTCACCCTGTAGTTATCAACTATTTATCATGTAATGCAAGGTTGCCCTTAATTCATGTAAAATGTCTATTTTTCTGGAAATTATAATAGTAATCCTTGCATTGGATATAGCACCTTTATTGTCAGGAGGATGTCTCAAAGTGCTTCACAGGATTTACTGTAAAGCCAATTTGTTCACAGCAATGTTCCACAAATAGCTATGAATGATTATTGGGAGAAACTACCTTCTCTTTTCAAGTGGTGCCTTGGGATTATTATTGAACAGGCAGACAAGACTTGCTTAATGTTTTATCTGAAGGACAGTACCACCGACAATGTGGCACCGCTCCAGCACTGCACAATATAAATTGTTGGTGGTGTTGGGAGTGTCAGCCTGGATTATGTGGGTTCAAAGTCCTGACTGGAACCCACAACCTTCTGAGTTGATCGTGCTGTAAACTGAGCCAAACGTAATATCCCTGCTTGGTATCAGTTTTGGCTGATATCAAGCAGGGATATTACTTGTTTTTCAATTGAGCATTAGATATAATAGAGGTTGGGGTGGGAGATAGTTCGAGGGGCATTGGTAGTCCTTATACAACAACTTGCACTTATATAGTGCCCTCCATGCAGGGCAGAGTCTCAGAGCATTTGTACCTTGTCCATGTTGCCCTGGCCAGGCTGTGGGGCATTTTAGATTCTCCTGCAGTTGACCACGTGTATCCCAGTGAGGATGGAATCTGTACAGTAGGTTCTTATCAGAAATTGGTAAACAGGATATCCTGTCATTTTGAATTCCCTCCATTCTTCTTCAATTTCCTCTACAAATTGATGTATGTCATCCATCTGCTGTAAAGATTTCCTTTTTTGCCCTAAACCTGATACACAGATGGTATTTCTCCAGCTTTTATTAGTATCCATTACAGTCACGCTGGGATTTCTGTTATTGGTTTGTTAAACACACGGTAGTTTTTGAAGGCTTTTGATGGGTCTCATGTCTAACTCTTGTTGAAAAATGCACACCCATTTCGGTCTTAAAACTCTGAAACATTGTCTATTGAAAGGAGCTAGGCGAAGGGAATGTGGGATGAGTTCAAGAGGGTGGGGGCAGAGAGGCTAAAGGCCTGATCGCCGATGGTGGGGTGGGCCGGGCAGGGGACATGGAGCAGGCCAGAGCCTGATGAGTGGAGGGAAAGTGCAGGTTGATAAGGGGTTAGCAGGTCGGAGAGATAGGAGGGGGCAAGGCCATGGAGGGTCTTGAAGGTGAGGACGAGGATTTTGAACTCGATCCTCTGAGGGATGGGGAGTCAGTGGAGCCGGGTGGGTGTGATGGAGTCACGGAGCTTGGTGCAGGAGAGGACACGAGCTGCCGAGTTATGGATAATCTGCAGCTTGTGGAGGGAAGAGTTGGGAAAGCTGATAAGCAGGGTATTGGCATAGTCGAGCCTGGATGTAATGAAGGCATGTATGAGAATTTTGGCAGCCTGAAGGGGTGAGGCAGAGGCAGAGTCGGGCAATGTTGCAGAGTTGGGGGAAGGCAGAGAGGGTCATGGCACGGATGTGGGGGAGAAAGGACTGTTGTGGGTCAAACAAGACACCTAGGTTTCTGACTGGTTTGGTGAGGTGGAGTGTGCATCCTTACTGCCAGTGCTTGAGGTGTAGAGGTACTGGCACGAGCTAATCAGGAGAGCCTTGGTCTTGTTGATGTTCATCCAAGCAATAAGGCTGCTGTTTGCTTTAATTTGTTACTGATCTTCTATTTGTCCCATCTTGAAACATGATTTTTCTTGTTAGATTTAGGACAGTTTAGTTAAAAAGCCACACAGTTGCTGTTCAAGTGCTCAATTCATCACCCTTTGCTCTTCCACTCCGTTTTCTTATTATCTGTTTGAAAAAAATCTGTTTGTGTCAGTTTGATTCGATTGGCATTCTTGCCTCTGGGTCAGAAAGTTGTGGATGTGTGTTAGGACTTTGAGCTCACAGACTAGCCTGACACTCCAGGGAAGTACTGGAAGTACTATTTTGTTGGGAGATGCCATTTTTGGATGAGATATTAAATAGAGGTTCCATCTGCCTGTTCAGGTGTACATAAAGCTTCCGTGGCATATTTGAAAAAAAATTGATAATCCCTACAATTGATACAGCTGCTTTTACGTCGGGAGAACAGCTCAAAGCACATCATGCCTACTTGCAGGTGTTTGCTGGCATAAATAACTGCCATGTTTGCCTACAAACAGTTTTATGAAAACAACAGTCCAACCCAAACAATTATCGACAGCTAGGGAGGTTTTTGCTTTAACAGATCTTATAATGTAGCGTCAACAACAACAATAACTTGGATTTATATAGTGCTCTCCACCCCGGACGGCATCTCAGAGCGCTTCTAACGGATCCCAGGGCCAAGCCAGGAGGAGGGGGAGGAAGGTGACCAAAGGCGCGGTCGAAAAGAAAGGTCTTCAGCAGACCTGAAAATAGGAAGAGAGGGGAGTGAGGAAGGGAATTCCAGAGCCTTGGGGCATAGTGGCTGAAGGCACAGCTAACCACGAGACTCCACTACACTACAGGACTCCATTTACCTGCCTTTTCCCCATATCCCTGTAAATTACTGCCTTTTACATATCTATCTAATTCCCTCTTGAAAGATAATGGGGCTCCTGCCTCGACCATCACTCCCAGCAACACATTCCACATCCTAACTGCCATCTGTGTAAAAAAAAATTCTTCTAACCTCCGCCTCTGGTAATTGATACTCTCTGATGACTGACTCACCTTTAATAAATCATGCAAGAGAGGACGAAATACACCCAAATGAATTATATCACAATGGAAAGAGGGGAACACCAAACAATGTGGAGGAAATGATTCAAGAAATGAGTGTCACAAAATTCAGTTTTTTCAGCAGAAAATTAAGGTGGGGTTAAAAAAAACACATGATTGACAGAATTCAACACCGCCAACTGAAACCCCAGCCACAGGGGAAATTGAATCCCAGGTGCTCTATGATTCTGTCATTTATGCTACAACAGAAGGAACTCTTCTACAACTTTCCTCCAGTCAAATGAGAAGCGAGAGCCTAATCCCAAGAGTGTCTGTGGAGCAGTGATTAAACTGGGATGAAATGCACAGCAACACAATTCTGCAGCCGCTGGAATTTTTATAATTATTTTCTGGGTCCCACGTCTTTTTCTGATCGTGAGAGGTCAATCTCCTTCAAATATACCAATTAACCACCAGTTTCTTGGGGAACCCGAGAGCGGAGTAAGAAAATAATCTGAACAGACTTGACATCTGTATTTGGGGCATTGTGCTAACCCTGTAATTACCACATCACTGATTGATTGCTATGGCCTGACTGGCTGCCCCACATTCAATATGCTTAATGTGTATCACTTGAAAGTATATTGTAACAAAATACAGTTCACTGATCCATAATTTATTGCAAACTGGCAATGAGGATGGGAATTGGAGATGTTGCTACTGTGTGATTGCCATTTGGATGGCCTGGTCTGAAATGGGAGGGTGGATGTTCTGGAAGAATGTGATCAAATAGGCTGAGGAGCCTTATCCGAATCACTCATGATATGAGTGTTTTTATTTGAAGCATCTCCCAGAATTGGAGCATTTTGATTCACCTATGGGCCATTTCAGCAATGGCTCAAAGCACATTCACAAGTTAAACAAAAAATTCCTGGCATCATATAAGACCAAATATAAATTGTTTGATGCACACAAGACCCCTACCAAGCAAGACCCTAAGTGATTTCCGAAAGATTGTCCTTTTTCACTCCCAGAAGTAAAACTTATTCAATGCTAATGGTTTTTTTGGACATTGCAGTTATCAACTACAACTGATAAATTGTTTGGAGTTTTTGTACATTTTTGGACATAATTAAAAGTGCAGTAATGTGTGATATTTGCTTGGTATATTATTATGTAGGTCTTGAAGTAAGAGTTGTGAACAAATTTAATAAGCTGTTCAGTATTAGAGTAGCTATTATTGGAAGGGAGTAATCATTCATATCAGAGCTGTCAACGTTGAGGAAGTGTTAATGACATTTATGATCAGAAAGAATAACATAAATTGCAAACCCATTTAGACATATGGAGGTGTATTTATTTTTTCAGAGTGACCACATCAAAGATGGTTGCATTTTTAAACTATAACACGCAATTGTTATTCTATTGAGTGATAAGTCTCATTACATATATATTGCTCCCAGAATTTATTACAGGGCTGAATTTTGCTTACGGAGACCAAGGTAAATGGTGAACAGGACATAAAGCAACTTATGGAATTTCTGTCTTGCTGTAACATATATATGCTGTAACTATGTTAAAGCTGCTACAAGCATCACTTTGATAACTTTTTGTTGGCACTGTACAGTGTTTGGAATTGGGAAGAGGCAAATACTATCAACAGTTTTATAAATGCAGTTCAGCAATCTGATTATAAAAGTACACAACAATGAAATTAAACATTTGCAATCTTTTTCAAATAGCTCTATTGGTATTTTATGCATGGTAGACTATGTTCCTACTTGCAATAAAATAAGTAATTCCATATTAATTTGTTTAAAATTTGAATTAGGAATAATGAATCTAGAAACAAACCGAAGTGTTACATTACATATTGTTTAGTTCTGTCTATAAAGATTTGTAGTCTATTTAGAATCCTCCACAAAGCATTATAGAACAATGAACAGTATACATAAATCCTTTACAATGCATTACAAAACAGTGAACGGTTCCCCCAGCCTCCTTTCATGACACACACCTATGTGTTTACCCATAGTGTTATCTTTTTCACAGTCTTTTTGTACTTGCATGAGGCAAAATATTCCAATTGACTTCACTGATGTTCCCGCTCAACCCCACGACTGCCATCCATTTTACAACAGCAGTAAAATGGACAAACTGCAACTGTAGAAAGCAGCACTTAATCAGATTTAATCCATCATTAAAAAACACTAAAGAACAAAAATGAAAGGAAACCACAGCCAACCTTCATGTCCTACATTTATTAAAAAAGCAACTGTATGTAACATTTGAAATGAAATAGTTTAAAAAGAACACATCTGTTAAAGCGTACAAACCATGGAATTATATACTAGCAGCATCCGAATGTAAGATCGACTACAAACCATCATTACGGTCTTTGTACTGACAAGCTACAGACATCACAATGTACAGCAAACTGTCTTCTTCATAGTGCAGATGAAACAAAACTTAAATGTAACAATTTAAGGTTAAATAATTTTAAATAATCATGTTAAATACAAGACACTTCATTTTGAGGTTCTGTACAAAGATAAACAAATTTGGCATTGTACAAGTGGCTTGTCGGCTCACTGTGTACACACTTTACTGATAAAGGTGTACATTGCTCTTGCAGCCTTACATGAACTGTACAAAAACATCAGTGAAGTTGTAGATATATTAGTGAGCCATTCAGAAGGCAAGTGTAGCTTTAAACATCAGAACACTGCTTATTTCAGGCACCAACGTTTATTCCAGCAAATGAATATTCTCTAAATTAACAGCATCTAATTTTGCGCCATCTCACTAGTGTTAATTTTCCAAACACGGTCCTGCGGTTATGCACTAAAATCTTATTGCTATGACACTGCGACAATGAAAAGAAAGTAATTACAAAAAATAGAGCACCTTTAACATTGGAGTTAATGTTTCATGATTTTATTTTACAATAGGAGAGTCTCTTAGTAAGTTGAACTGTATAGCAAACACTCATTCTTCACCACCGAATGTTCAAGTGAAGAGAGTCAGACACATAATATAGCTAGAACACCGATATCTATTTCTGAACAGCTTAAAATAACATTCTAGGACTTGATGAATTTTCATATAGTGCTTTGTACTAACTGCTCCTGTTCCATACATCAGGATTTCTTGTCAATAGTGTTGAAAAACCATTCAGTAAATTTCCTTAGCTGGGCAGCAGCTGTCTGGGACTCTTCTTGAAGCCTTATGTTATCTTGGCGCAAATGGTGTACCTCAACTTGAAGCATTTCCTTATCTTCTTTTTCCTGTTCAGGGAAAATATTAGATGGGAAAAAAATCATAAGAAACCTCCAGAAATCTTTAACTAATTGCTCAGTCCTGCCTGGTGGGACAGTGCAGATTTAGTTCTATGCCATATGAATTGTACTTTTTTTTAAAATTACAGAAACAAAGATCTTGCATTTTAATATCAGGTTGAAATGTCTCGAAAACTCTTACTGCTAAATGTAGTGGATATATTTGTAGGCTGCTATTTGCCCACAGAGAGGTCCTACTAATAGACAACCAGACTCAAAGTGAATTGTTGATTAATTTGGGGGATTTTTGGTAATGATATCAAGGTAAACTCCCTTCTCTTTTCATATAGTGTTGCGGGATCTTTAACGTCCAATGTGAAGAGTTGCTAATACATCATTAGTATCCTAAGCTATTGCTGATTTACCCATATTGTGTATCTCTAAATGGGGCGTATACAATATGTATAAATGTATACCCTGCAGTAAACACCTGACAGGCCGACCCTGGCATAACTTGTCTTGATCACTTAAATCATCAAAAGCTGTCAATATCTCAGCTGCATTTATTTATTTATACATAAATATACATATGCCTAACTCACCACTCCAGCTAACTCATGACTGAGTCATTTCCCTTCGAGTGGTGAGTTATCAGGAGTTTGTGTGCTAGTGTCATGTAACACCTGTGTATATACTGTATTTCACAGGCAGGGGAAAGGAGGAAAACACAAAATACTACCAATTGCAAAATAAAAGTAAGCATGATAAAATGCAGTTACCCCCTTTTAGTCCATACTTCTATGCAAACAATTCTATGAATTTGATGAAGTCATTAACTGGTGAATTGTTAGTTGTATGCAGTCACCTCACTGTCCACTGACTGGAAAACAGATTTTTTTTGCTATTATATTTGCAACAAATGAGTCAATGTTTAATAACCAATTCTATAGATAAACCAATTCTACACAACAGTATTGTGCTTATCTAAAGATCTACAAGGTCAGTCAGCAATACCTTACGAAGATCATCCTGAAGCTGCATGAGAATGGTCTCCAGCTGATTCACTTTTCCTGTGATTGTGTTCGGAGAGCTTCCCCTAAACAAAAACATCAGAAAGAATCAGACATGTGAATTTTACAAATGGCAGCTAATCATATAGTGCCTCTATGGAGAAATATATTGTAGTTAGTCATTCACAATACAAGCCTCAAATGTGCTAGTGCCATGTAACACCTGACTTAATTTTACCAATATTTGATGGAAATGTTTACAATATTAAATAATAATCCTTGCATTTGATATAGCTCCTTATTACATTGTTGAGAGTCTCAAAGTGCTTCACAGAATATACTGTAAAGTGAATTGACTATATCTTGTGGGCAAAATATGCATTGAAATTTTGTTTCAAGGAATATTGTACACAACCTTCTCCCCCCTTGTTCAGTGCATTTTGATGTTTGCTCAAGGAGTGCAAACAAGGTTTGACCCTGAATTGAACTAATGGCCTTCATGTTGTGCTGTATTTTTGCCTCCAAAAGCAGCTAAGATGCCTTGGGCTTGTAGGATCAAGTCTCCTCAGTTTGATGTCGCACCCGAGGGATGGCAACTCCGATAGATTGGGTCTGTTTTCATTGGAGCAAAGATTGAGAGGATAGAGATGTACCAAATTATAAGGGGTTTTGACTGGGTAAATACCAGCTGTTTCCACTGGTGACTCGAGGACTCGAGGACATAGAATTTTAAAATAGTTGTAAGGAGAGCTTAGGAGAAACTTTTTCACACAGAAAGTTGTTGTGATGTGGAATGCCCTGCTAGGTAAGGTGGTAGAGGCAGAGTCCATTATGAGTTTCAGAAGGGATGTAGACAGGTACACAACAAAAAGGGTTCATGGGATAATGATAATAATAATAATAATCCTTGCATTTGATATAGCGCTTTCATGCCTTCTAGGCGTCTCAAAGTGTTTCACAGAATAGACTGTAAAGTGAATTGACTGTATATATTTGTGGGCGAAATGCAACAGCCAATTGCGCACAGCAGTGTCCCACAAACAGTCATGGATTGAAAATGACCAATTTATTATTGTTTTTTTTTGAGGGATTATTATCAAGCATGTTGAGTAAGGAAACTTGCCCAAGGTTTCATCCTGTCGGGAATCGAACCCAGGTCTCTCGCTTGCAAAGCGAGTGCTCTATTATATAGGGATAGGGCAGGGCAGTGGGATTGAATGGACAGTTTGCTCTGAGAGCTGGTGCAGACTGGATGGGCTGAATGAATTTTCTCGCTCAATGTTGGAACAATGCCAAGTAGCAACCAGATCAATAAAGACTCTTCGTTTGGCTGAATAACAGTTATTATTATATGGGGGGTGGGGGGGGGGGGTGTTGGAATAAATCTATAATAATTACTTTATTGAGTTATTAAAGCATTTCTTGGCAAAGAGGTTTTATGAGTTCTTTAGCATCCCTCGGGTGAGATATCAAACTGAGGAGACTTGATCGAAACTGATCTTACATTAAAGACTCTATAAAAGTGTAAGTCCAACCAAGGAGGCAGACAGCTGATTTCCTGACAAACCTCTGCCCAGGTTGCTGGGAAATTAGCTGTCAGGATGTGACATATCTTTCTATTTCCCTTCCCTCCCTTTTGGGGAAGCACTGGCCCTCTCCCAGACTGTTTAGCTAACACCAGCTCTTATATATGAAGAATCATAAGTATGATCACAACCACTCCAAATTTCAGTACAATTAGGCACTGTTTGACTAAGATAAGAGAAGTAGTAAACCATAAAGCGGTTAGCACAGCATTTGTAATCTGCCCCTACTCCCTCAGCCCCCTTGGTCCCCAGCTCTGGTGCAAACCTTAGACTGTCCAACGCTTTGGGACATCCTCCCGATGGGAAAGGCGTTATATAAATGTAGATTTAAAATGTACTGTGTTGTAAACACTTATTCAGTAGGTTAGATGCCAAGATATAACTTATTGAAGTATTAACCTACTGTTATCTTTTGAAGAAATTTAAAAAGCAAATATCCCAAAACACAATCTTACTTATAATAATCCTTGAGTAATGTATAATGATAAAAAGCAGCCCATATAAAACACAAACTGACGTTCACAGACATTCCACATACACACTGTGAACAATCCAGACCAAGTTGCCAGTGTTCCTCCCTGGCTACAGTTCATAGCTTAACTCTTTTCCTTTGCTTTATTATTCAGCATGCTTGGCAGTAATACACTGAAGCTACTGTACTACATCCTGAGCTACTAGGCAAACATGTCATGTCACTTTTACTTAGCTCGCTAATGAAAGGAATAGCTTTGATAGCAATCAGTTATTGTACTTACTCAGCATCTTCAGCGTGAGCCTGTCTGTCCGACTGTCCAATGTGTAACGATAAGTCTTCAGCGCTCACCAAACCCTGGGCCGACTGCATATCATTCAGCGTGCAAAAGGATGCTACTCTCTGATCTGTGGAAGCAGAATCAAAGACCGCGTTACAGCACAGAGCACAATCAGGTTCACAAAGAAACGAAAAGCTGTATTACAGCACAGGGCACTGCCGGTTTCATCCACAAACCCGCATAGCTTTCTCCGATCCAGCATTAGCTTCCCAGATTCTGTTAATGCCAAAGGCTGGTTAGTGACATTCACAAAGCATTCAATTTGAATTACTCCCAGGATTGAAGGGTTTTGCATTGCGGCTACAAGGAAGCCCAAAAGACATCAAAAACCTCAAAAGCTCACTCGCCTTTTGACACTAACATCCAGAGGCAAGCCCTGAGTTCACATTTCTACACACATCAAAGATATCAGGCAAATCCATTGTGATTAGCTGTTTCTAATTGGAACAGTAGAACGCTCTTACCTAAGCTTCCAAAAACCAGCAGAATCTAGAGAGACATTTTAGACACAACTGCCCTTTTATTTCATCCAACCTCATCATGCAAACGTGCAAAAGACCACAACACAGGCTTATTCACATCATTGTAACTGTGAGTCACCTAGGCAGAGTGTGTGACGGCAAACAGATCCAAGATCCTCGTCAGAGTCAAAGCCTGAAATTAAATTTTAAGTGTCTCTTTAGCCTTTTCCATGGCATCCACAGACCTCCCTTTACACTGTGAGCGACACTGTGGTTATAAATAAACATATTCCAGCGGTCTCAAAATCAAACATATCCATAAAAGTAAGAAGCCTTGAAGACTGCTTGTAGGTAAAATATTTCTAGCCTCATTTAAGACATTCATCCATTTAGTATTTCAAATTAAAGAATAAAGAACACTCACACTTCAAAAAGATACACATACATGACATTTGGAAATAAGAATGCAAAAAATCGCTGGATAATCTGACAATAAATTATGTTGGATCAGGATTTTTTATTAAAGTGTTATAGTTCAGTCTGGAATTATATTCAGATGATTCAGTGCACAATAATTCTATGCTTTGATCAACTCAAAAAGCGTATACCTGGAGTTTACTTTCTCTATATAATTTTTTTTAAATTTTACAAACTAATACTACGGTGAGAAGTTTTAAGTTCATACTTCTATTGTAGTATTGTATTGTAGATTGTAATTGTAACAATTTTTTGATCCAAGATCTTCATGGACACCAAAGTATTTTTAGATTCATAACTATTCTTCTTTTTTGTGTTTAAAATACAAAATGATTCCCATCTATATCATAAAAATAATTTCCTACAATATAAAAGCTTTCATTTTATAAAATTGCTCCTACAATTCACAATTCCAGAGGTACTAAGGCTTTTAGGAGTAATGTATAATAAATGTGCTTCAAATGGCCACAAAACTAGCTATTTCAGTTTAACTTGCAATTTTGTACAAATTACCTATGCTTAGCTTGCTCAAGAGGTTCAGTAACAGGAAAGGAATTTGTAGGAAAATGATGAACAGAAAAATTAAATTGTAACTTAACGCACTGAGGGACAAACGGTCAGAAGTCACACTCTGCGAGTCTATTCCTGTGAGAGATCAGAAAATGGTGGGTAGTAGATTAACTGTAAGATATATATTAAAATGGAGATTAGGGATTGGAAGATTTCATTTAGACACATGCATAATATAATAAATAATAATATAATAATCCTTGCATTTGATATAGGCTTTTCACGTCTTCTCGACGTCTCAGAGCCCTTCACAAAATAGACTGTAAAGTGAATTGACCGCATATTTGTGGGCGAAACGCGGCAGCCAATTGCGCACAGCAGTGTCCCACAAACAGTCGTGGATTGAAAATGACCAATTTATTATTGTTTTGTTTTGGAGGGATTATTATTAGGCTCTGTGTGGAGTAAGGAAACTTGCCCAAGGTTTCGCCCTCTGCCTGGAATTGAACCCAGGTCTCTCGCTTGCAAAGCGAGTGCTATAACCACTGTGCTATAGGACATAACTGTCACCTGCCTTGATAGGAATACAAGTATAACATTGAAATACCAAGTAATCAAACTTTAAGACACAGCAATCACCATCCACTACAAATGGAGTCAAATATGCTGATTACCTAAAAGCTTGTACTTTTCCAGGAACAACACATTATTCTGCTAAATATTTGGGGATTTACCCCTGAATCAAATAAAACTTAAGATTTCTCTTTTATAATACAAATCTAAATATGATAAACATTCTTTTAAGACATCAATGTTACACAAATCATAATCCAGAGACAAGCATGTTTTCAAGTAAATTTGAGGATTACTGCTCTGCTATTTTATGGAATAATTATTTCTAATGCTGGGCGTATAGAGAAATGGTCTCATATATTTGAGGTTTTTAAAATAAACCGTGCATAGGATAGGACCGAAGAAAACAAGTCAGTCAGGGATCTATGACTAAACAACATCCAGTTAGTCCTCTTGGAAAGTGCACATGTGGACGCCAGATGTGGCCAGGATCGGGTTCAGCTGCAATGTTGCTCACAGTGGAACATCTGCTGACACTCTGTCTATATAACACCATTTCCACCCCATTCCTCCACATATATACACAAACACACACACACACACACACACACACACAAGATACACGCACACACAAAAATGTCCAGTAGGACAAAATATTGGCAGACTGCTCGTGTCCTAATACTTCACTCCAACATAATTCAGGACAGGGGAAGAAAATCAGGAAGAAAATTAATAAAAGGTAAATCTTAGCACTGATTTTAAATTCCCTTTACAGCTACAGTTTTAATTGTTAGTGACTGATTGCTACTTCATAGCATCAAACACAAACTGCAATACTATCTATGCCATTGGAAAACCCAGAAACCAAATAAACTCAAAAGAAAATCGCACACTACATTTGAAAGGACTTTCTTTTACCTTCATGAAAGAGTGTGTACGACAATTCTGGAGAAAGAGACAGCAATTGTAAGACAAAGAAAGGAAACAAAAGGAATCAAAGCAACATTTAAGAGAATTTGATACAAAGACTTACTATGATTCATTTAGCAGCTCCAAGCCAACTAAATTACTCATTTATTTTGAAGCAAACGGCCTGGGTATTGTAAGTACAATGATGAATTCTTCCAAATATGGTAACAGCTTTAAAAATGCCTCTTGAAGAAACTAGACATTATTTGTTTCTTTGAATCATTACAATATTTGGTTCAGACATTTATTCATCAATTTAATCATTAATTATGAAATCTTCGGATGTAATTCAAAAGAGCAACAGAAATTCCTCATCAACAAAGCCGGGTCAAAAGCTGTAGATAATTTACTATCTAACAAGCACAAGACAGTACAAGGTGTTTGTTTGACTGGTAGTTTCAATTTTGGTTTTATTATATTGCTTCAGTGAACTAAAAGTAAACTATATAGTGGGGAAAGAAAACATGATAAAATCTAGGATCATTCATTGGGATACAGATACGTTACAGTACAAAATAACCCAGAAGTAGCATCTCTTACATTTTAATGTAAGAGATGCTACTTAATCTTCTTCAATCATGCCATCGGTCACCCCCTCCCCTTCCTTCTCCCTCCCTGACCCCAGCTCAGGTCTGAAAATGCTGTACAATGTCCAGCGCCTTGGGACGTCCTCTCGACATGAAAGGCGCTATACAAATATGTAATCTTATTGTTGCAATAAATCAAACGATTTTATTAGAGAAAGAAAAAATGGACAGAGAAAATGTGCTTAATAAAAATAACAGTTGGAAGAGTGATGCAGATTCAATTGTGAGCTGTAGAAAGCGCTTCACCTTGAAAGTTATCTGAAGTAATCTTCTGCTAACTTGCTGCTTGCCACAATTAGTCCTGAGATCCAGAAAACAAAGGTTGCTTCCTGAGAACGTTCTGATTGGATTTCTGGCTAATAAACATAACTTTCCAAGATCAATCTTGGGATAATTCATAAACCCGATTGGTGCTTTTTGAAGCTCTCAAAGATATTGTCCATATTACTGTTAATGTGTTTATCATAGCACGGTAGATCCACCACCATTTCTGCAGGTACTAGATATCTTTTACTTCCATTGCACGGATCCTTCAGACTCGCAGATGCTAATCCAGTACTGGATTATGAGGCCAACAAGAGCAATATGTACTTTTAAGACTGAAGTTATTTATTTTATTAACAGCATTTACCTCAGGGAAATCAGACAGAGCTGATTGACTCAATGCAGTGGTCAAAATTAAAGCTATTCTAAATTCCACTGTTCCAGGACATAGCTAAGATTGGGTTAGGCGAAAGGATGACTGCTGCCATCTTAATGAAACTGACTATATTTTGGGATAAACTCTGAATGCTTGTAGATGATTTTACAAAATTATTCTCTTTATGAAACCCCCAAAAGCATTGATGGGTCCATATCATTTTCTCTTTAAAAAATGCGATTTGGTGCCAATGAACATGATGGTCAATGGTGATTTTTGATGAGTCTTGGTGTTGATTCAACTCGAGACTGAAAACCAGAGGCAATTGTTTGGACAATACAAAGGCTGCAAACAGTGGGGCTGATGATTCACCTAAAGGAAACTTCAGTGACCAGAACGTTCCCTGTTAATGCTTCTTTTGCTATCTGACCTCGACATGGAGGAGTGCTCCAATGGCAAAACTAAACCTGAGGTCTCTCTGTCCTTCTAGGAATTGAGCTTTTAAATGCTTGCCATCAGGATAACCTTCCAACAATGAATCTTTGCATGCACTTGTGTTGAATTTTGAGTAGAATTCCCACTTACAAAAAACAAGTGATTGAAGACAGGAAAAAGTCATTTATGTGACAAGAATGTATGATTTCATCCTGTGAAACGCTTTGAAACATCTCGACAGGATAAATGTATTGCAATACATTGAAACATTGTTTGTTTAAACAAATTTAAGAGGGCTGGCATAAATATGACAGGCTTGGCAACTTCTTCCTTAGTGCAATTTCATCAACATTCAGTTTACAACTGTCAGCTGATCCTTCAAGCTTTTTCTCAAAAGCCAATTTATTTTGATCATATTTCGACTGTGCAAAACTAAGATGGAAGGAAAACTGGGACTTTGGGTCATTTGAAGAACAGTTTATAAATTCTTTTTCAATTGCCTACTGTTTCAAAATATGAAGTTCAATTGCATTCAGCCAGTGAGACTCATAGACAAATTAAATTAAAGTACAGCCTCAATGCAGTTAAGCATCGACTAATCTGACTTGATCTGAATTTATCCTGCATTGCACATTTAATTTTCTCACCCTGGAAAACACTCTTCACCTTACTGTCAACACCTGGAAAAACAATAGCAGCAGGATTTTTGATTTATTTTAAAGCTCCACTTTGCAACAAATTCATTAAACTATATGACTTTGTTGAGAGTACTGCTTTTTTTCTTCCTTATTTTCTCATCCATAGTTTTATGATCAGGAAATATTGTCTACTCTGCACAACTCCATGTAGTGACAATGTCATTCCTTCACTATCCTACCAGAAAATACATGTGAGCTGCCAGAAACTGATCCTGTTCTCCAGATGACTCTACTAACTCAGCTCTCCAGGGAAAGCCCAAAGGTATACATCATCTGAATCTGGAATTCAAACGCTTCTCTGGGTTGAGAAATAAATGATGCAGTGCTGGAACTTCTGGACGGTAATGCTATTTTGATATTTGTATTTAAAATTCAACTTGTTACAGTTGCTTTGTCAATTTTAGATTGGTTTTCTAACCTTAAAAACTGTGAGAATGGACCTTAAAATTTGGGATGCAAGTCAAGACTTACATAATTGTGCTCATTTTATCCAAATATTGAGGAATAATTTGTAAACAATCTATACTGCAACTTCTAATCTAGATTTGAAGATATTGTTTTCTCATACATTTCATTTTTCCCAGGTACATCTGNTTTTTTTTATCCTGTGTGAATTGCAGAATGACAAATATGATTAAGCTACGAAGTCATGAAAATATGCAGATATAATTGCTACAACTAAACTAATGGAAAATTAGATCAATCATCTCCACAACAAGGTACCCAGCTAAGCTGGCTCTTCTTTTACCTTCAAACGCTCGCGCAGCATCCACAAGGTTTGACCAATCTAACCCAGAAGCAGTATCTGGAAGGGGCATCAAGCCAGGGTCAGTGTACTTTGACTTATCCACCAAAGATCCATCGGAGAACCAGAATTCAGCTGTACGGGAGGAAAGTAAAGACTGCATTACAAATTTAACACATGTGCAGGAGATCTACGACCTCCACTTGCTTTAAGATACTTCATTACAAGATTTGAACAGAAATAGTATTGTATTGCACTACTTGATTTGTACAATGATGATATTATTTATATCAACACACTGTGCAGAGAGGTATTGTGGTTAGGGATACCATAACTAATTATTGCAGTTGTACAAAAGCTGAATTATACAGAAGCTAATAATACTTTGTCAGCCAATTTACCCTTCATCATTACTTGTGACATCCTGCCACTACTTCTCAAATCACAGGGTTTTTAAGTAGGACAAAATGAGAGATACTGCAGGTGCTGGAAATCTGAAACAAAATGTCATGCCCCAGTTCTGATGAAGGGTTGTGGACCCGAAACTTTGACTTACTTTCCTTTCTCCATAGACGCTGCCTGACCTGCTGAGTGTTCCCAGCGACTTCGCTGGGAGCCTGCCTTTTGTTTCAAACTGATTGATGAATTATGAGAACTGGTCCTGAAACTTGTTACTATTTTGCATTCCAGCTTATGTAGGCTGCATTTTTTTTAACCTGAGTGGTACTAATAGCTTGTGCAACAAATCCTGACCACTAATAAACTAATTGCCAGACTTAAAAGAAAATCTCACATTACAGGCTTCCTTTGTCATCACTCTTGCATCTCAATAAGTGACCGTCTGTTTAAAAAGAAAGTGGAGTGATAACAGCGCAAGGAAAAAGATACGACCTTGTATACTCAGTCAAATTCAATAGCTTTCTTGGTTCACTAATTCCAAATCATAGAGGTTTTGTTTAAAAGTGGAATGAGAATTTACATTTAGAACAGCAATAAAATGGAAGTGCTGTACGGTATGCATTTGCCCATATTAACACTGTCAAATATGTAGTAAAACAAGAAACATGAAAATTAGTCCCTTTACTAAGGGCCTAATTTTCACACTTGAAGAGATGCAAATCAATGGGAAGACTGCGTTCAGTTCTTTGGTGAGGCTGTGGGTGACATTGAAAGTTTGGAATTAGGCCACGTTTTCATGAACATACAAAACAAAGGCTCTATCCATCTACTGAGCTTGTGTACAAAGCGAGACCCTGCTCATGAAATCTGAAGCAATTTAAGAGGTCAACATGAATGAACCAGTCGTGATTAAAAGGTGATTAGCTTTAATCCCTCTAAAATCTAGCAATAGAGATATCCAGGGTAGAAATTGTTTGACTCCTAAGTGTCTTTTAAACCCCAAATCCATGCTGACCTGCTCAGCTTTCCTCCATCTATGGAAAATTGGCCACTTCCACCACGACCTCTCCCCTTGGATTATTGAGACCCTCATCCATAAATTTCTCACATCCAGACCCGACTACAAAAATACCCTGTGCATTTGTATTTGTTACACTGGATAGTGATCACATCAACATTACTTTTTCTATTGTTCAGTCATGCTTTGAACTTATGTGAATATTACAACATCTTTTACCAAAAGAAATTCCCTGTGAGGAGCAATGATAAATTCAACAAAAACAACAGACTGGTTTTAATTTGTTGGTTCCACCCCTTAAAAAAAAGCTAACAACCTATCCGACATGAAGGGAAACAAAATATTTTCTGTCTCGCATTTTATGAAAGTGGTTTATTTTGTTTTGTTTTACTTACTTCTCAGGCCAGACATGCAGGGATTGTGAGAGATACGGGGTGGTAGGGTGCAATGGTAAGGTGGAGTGGTGCTGAATAAAATGTCGTTTGGTAGTGCTTGTTCAAGCATTGAACTTCGGGAGCTGGCGTATGAGGATCCTCTCCGATTACTACATATGCTTTCATCAGACAGTGTGCGGTACAGTGATCTCCTGGGAGACAGGTTTCCGGAAACAGAGATCTTCAAACCGTATGGAAAGGAGAGGTAGAGGTGGCGTGGAAGAAAAAGGAAAAAACAAAGAGCATTAACAATACTACATTCTTGAGTCAAATTTTCCTACCCGTGGTAATATGTAATAAATGTACATGGAATATGAAGATGCACACACAATTTCAATTATTTTAAGGGGAAAGTGCTGGTTATACATTTTTTCATCAAAACGTCAAAAAGTATACACAAATCCATTCAATTTAAAAACAAATCTTTTGACTAATATCTCATTTAGAAAAGAAATGAAACTTCACGACAAGCTGCTGCATTTATATTTACACAAACAGAGAATTGCTTCCCCTACACACACACACCAGACGTTGAAACCAACCCTGAAATCTGTGTGATTTAGGCTTTTATGCTGGCTCTATACAGGATTGCAGCATGCATGTAATTTAGCATATCATTTCAATGGCAGTATCAACCTTCAAGCTCGTTTTCAATACGTGAAGGGCATAGTAATCTGCGTAGCCAGATCTGAATTTTTTGTTGAGGAGATGGAGGGATTTAAATGTGCTGTCAACTAATCTACAGGATAACTACATGAGAAATTCTAATTTCTGGTAGCATATTTTAAGTAGCTAATTATATATTACACAGTTGCATGGATCTTGATAAAACCAAATAAAGCTTTTAAAACCTAATGACAGTGATTGCTTTTGGAAAAATATGAGGTTACCAACTCTGGCAATATTTATTAAGAACCATCAAGCATTGAACTTGATTCTAATATGAAATGACTTTATTTTAATATCATGCCTTTCTGCATTGATTAACTGAATGTGATGTGCAGTCTGACTTCGATGACAAAGGATGGGAACACTGAAATAGAAGAATGTTGAATGAGAAAAAAGTGCATGGCTTTATCCTTGAAAAATTGTTCCCTTTCTACATGTACACTACTGAATTTACCTCTGCAACAACCTGTATTTATATAGTACCCCTTAAGTAGGATAACATCTCAGAGCGCAGGGTTAGAGCCTAAGGAAGAGAGAAGGTGGAGGTGACCATGGGCACAGTCAAAGAGGTAGGTTTTCAGATAGGATTTAAAGACAGATATAGATAGGGTGAGGAGGAGAGATAGAGGCAGCAAGTCTCAGAGGTTAAGGGTGTAATGGCTGAAGGCTCAGCCACGGATGGTGCATGAAGGAGTCAGGTAATGTACAGGAGGCCAGTATTATCTCTATTACTATTGTTGTGATACCCTCTAAGTTGCAATACATTTCTTCCATCACTTGCCAGTGTTCTCCTTTCCTGAAGCAGTTTAACTCCTGCTCCCCTCTCTTCTTTAATGATGTGGTTCCATGGGCCCTGATGATATTCTGGCATCTGGTATTCAACGTGGACATTATTAACTTCCCTGGCTGAGTTTGACATAGCACTTTACCATGTCCTTGAGACGTTTCAAAGAACTTTACATGATATATTGTAAAGGTGAGGTACTGTGTATTTTGTGGGCAAAATGCAATCTCACACACATGCCTCAGCTATCTTTAGTTTCTTTAAGGTTCTTTGGGTACAGAGTATAAGAACATAAGAACATAAGAAGTAGGAACAGGAGTAGGCCAATCGGCCCCTCGAGTCTGCCCCGCCATTCGATAAGATCATGGCTGATCTTCAGACCTAACTCTAATTACCTGCCCTATCCACATATCTCCTAATCCCACTATTTTTTAAAAATCTATCAGTTTCAGCCTTGAAGATGTCAAGGACTGAGCATCTACAGCCTTCTGGGGAAGTGAATTCCATAAATTCACTACCCTCTGAGTGAAGAAATGTTTCCTCAACTCTGTTCTAAAAGGCTGACCCTTAATTTGAAGACTGTGACCGCTGGTTATAGATTCTCCTACCAGGGGAAACAGACCCTCAGTGTCTACTTTATCCAGCCCTTTAAGAATCTTATATGTTTCAATAAGATCTCCCCTAATTCTTCTGTACTCTAGAGAATACAGCCCTAGTTTATTCAGCCTATCCTCATAGGTCAGTCCCCTCATCCCAGGAACTAATCTAGTGAATCTACGCTGCACCCCCTCTAGGGCAAGTATGTCCTTTTTTAAATAAGGAGACCAAAACTGCACACAATACTCTAGGTGCGGTCTTAGCAAGGCTCTATACAGTTGCAGCAAGACTTCCCTACTCTTGTCCTCTAAACCTTTCGCAAAGAACTCTAACATGTCGTTCGCCTTCTTAGTTGCTTGCTGCACCTGCAAACTAACGTTTTGAGACTGGTGTACAAGGACACCCAAATCCCTCTGAACACTAACACTATCTAATCTCTCCCCCTCTAGAAAAGAATCTGTTTTTCTATTTTTTCTACCTAGGTGAATAACTTCACACGTCCCCACATTAAATTCCATCTGCCATCTACTCGCACACTCCCCTATCTGGACCTTATGCTTTGCCTCTTTACGTTTGTCTATTGTGGTGATGGTGCAGTGTTCCCTACACCACCACAATAGACAGTGGAGGGAATGAAATTACAGCCGGTAAGCTAGGGAAGGAAGCAGGAACCAGTAACTTCATCCTCCCCTTATTTAACTGCTGTAATTTAATTCCTTGCATCACCTATTATTCTTGTGTGAAAACAGGCAAAATATTTGTTTAGCGTTTTAGTTATTTCTTCATTATCTTCATTCAGTGACTTACGAATATGAACTAATGTGGTTTAAGGACAATCTATTTCACTTTTGTGTGTGCAGCGTTTTTACTAACCAAGCCCTCCATTCACTGGCCCTGCCACAAACAGTAAAGACATGCTCCCAAAATGGTAGAATCCTGGAGGATTTCACTACTTACTGTCTGGGAGTCTGTAACATCCTGTGCAACCAAGCGAAAGTTGGTGTTTCAATCCAACATTTATCCATGTGTAACTTGCATGTAATGCTGGAATATGTTTTTTTGAGACGAAGGAGAAGGATCATAATTCTGCCTGTCCTATTTTGCAATGGTGCAACACGCATCCGCTGAGATAAGAGCGCGAATGAATGTTCACAGAATAATGGTGATACTTTATTTAGGCAGATAACATGCAGCTTGAAATGTGTTGCAAGGCAGTTAACACATCAACGAGTTGAATGCCTGATCAGCATCCCCTCAACTTGAAGAGATGCTACATCCTTAAAATACTCTATTCTGCTATTCTATATAAAATAAGTGTGGATAGAATTGTGTCAGCCTGGCTCAGTTCATAGCACTCTCTCCTCTGGGTCAGAAGTTTGTGGAATGAATCTCCACATTGGGAATCTGAGACCGTGATTTAGATTGATATTTTAATACAGTGAGGGATTTTAAATCGATACAAACAGCAATTTAGTTATTGATGAAATTACAGTATCTATAATGGGCTGCTGTATTTAAGCTTCAAGCATTAGTTAAGAGAAAACTTGATGCATACATAAGTGAGAAGGGAATAGGGGTAGAGGTGAGTTACGCGAGTGTGCAGTCAAGTTATTCTGCAAAAGGAGGTCATTTGGCTCATCAAGTTCGCACTGGCTCTTATAGAGCAAGGTGCTTGTTCAATCCCACTGCCCTGAATCATCTCATCTCCAGACCCCTTCTAACCTATATTACAGTACAGTACTTTCAATGGCCTGTTTTATTTTAGCTTGAAGCATTATTTAAGAAAAAAGTGTGATGCATACATGAGGGAGAAGGGAATAGAGGAGCATATGTAGGTTAGATAACCGAGTGCGCATTATGTGCACGTGTGAAGCGGCACAGTGTGCATTTAAAGAAATATACAGGGAGGGAGAGAGAAGAAAAAAGGCCAGTATTACAGTGAATACAGATATAACTCCAGATTTTTTTAAAAAATGTTTTGTTAGATTGTAGCCAATTTGTATTTGTCTGACATCCAATTAGTTACACTGCTTCCTTATCTGCAGTTAGGCCAGGCCAAATCAGTGTGGATAATCAGCTCTCCATTTAAGAGCTTTGAGATTCCTCCTGACATGAAAGGCACTACATAAATCTAAATTGTACTGTAAATTGCATTGTATTTTTCTAGTGCAGTGATCAAAGTAACCCATCAACAACAACAAAATTACATTTGTAAAGCGTCTTTCATGTCGGGAGTATGATAGTCATCAAGTAGTTATGTTTTAACTATCTTGGTTTATAAATATCCTGTCCAATGAGATTTCACCTCTCTCCCAACATACCTGTCATATTCAGGCCAAACAATGTTCTTGGACTGCAAATTTTAGAGACAGATGGAATGTATGTGGTGGGGCACAGAGAAGGGAGAACATATGCAGACACAGGCATATGCCTGATGGGAGAGAGAAAAACACCAGCCCATGCTACCAAGTAAATGTTGAAAAAACCATCTGAATGCCCTGGGCATCTAAACACCTACTAATGTGGAGTTCTGTCAAAATCCAAACCAGGAAGGTCAAGGGCATATTTTTTAAAAGACAATACAGTATACGCATTTTATGGTCAATGCTTAAACGGTTCTATTTTAACCTCTAATATTCTCAATAGTTTTAAAAATAGGACTTTTTTTTAATTTCACATCAATAGCACTACGAAGTCAAGGCAAACTAGGAATTACGTGACCCGCAAAAGAGAGCGGTGCTGAAATTATTCTGCGAAAAGCAAGCCATGAATGTAAATGGAGTTCCATACTTGATTGTTTCAGCAAAATCAATCTGCCACTTCACTGTTCGAATCAAGTGACCTATGAAATAACCCTGAATTTTGATTCAATTGAAACTACTATGCAGTCAAAATGTACTGGGAAGATAAAGGGAATATAAGCCAGAGTGTCTGCAATATCAAAATCACTATAATAATATGTGTATATACGCGCACACACACACAGGAGAAGAGAATAGGTGGGTTATGTGAGTGTGCAGTCATTATTATGTGCATGTCATTTTACTGTATATATATATATAGATAGTTAGACATGGTGAAAGGAACTTTTTTCCTATAAATAATAACATATTGTTGTTTCATTAAATCATTAAATTAAATTTTCTTTATCCATAAAGTATAAACAACTATTCAGGGTCTGCTTTTCAAGTCAAATAAAGGGAGAAAATCGAAGGGTAAAAATATGAAACAAAAAAAACAGGTAAATTCAGTGAAAACTAGTAAATATAGAGACTTATTTTGGAAGTGCTTTCAGCCCATGTTGAAGGTATTCAGAGAAAATGCAGCACGCACAACTTGAAAGCTGCTTCATTTTCCACCGGGCAACAATATGAGCAATTCTGCTACAAAGCAATGTACTTGGCGACCAATAATACTGCCTAAATGATGCTAGTCATGTACAGCATTGAGCTGAAGTCACCTGGGTTCTGTTGCAGTGTTCAGAGGCCATCTCCGAGCATACGAATTGCGCATCAATTGGCAGAACAATGATGCACAGGAATCTTGGAAGCCAACTTTTTGGGGCGGTTTCGGAGATGGGGATTGTGAAAATGAGTTTTTAACCAATCGACTTTCATCAAAAAACTTGCACATATGTTGAAAACTGATAACAAAAAGTCATGCAACTAGAATTGAATATTTCATATGGGGAATTATTTTGCATTTGGTGAAAATGTTTCTAGTTTTTAGTTGAAATTGCGTGGTTATATTCCACTTACACAATTGTACCAGTCAAGTTTTAGAAAAAAGTGCCTAAACCAGAGTAATTCTGTTAAATGGATGATAGATATGCAGTTCACATTTGCAAATTATTTCATATAAAGAATATGATTGAATGGGAAGACAGAATACTGTATATTGTAGCAGGACAATTGGATATTTAAATTGACAAGTGGCTTGGCTTTACTTATGAAAAATGTATACAGTAGAAAATTCTTTGAGACAGACCATTAAATCATCAGTTGACAGATAACAGCCATCAAAATATGCATGCGTCACCAGCTCTCCAAACCTGACATTGGAAAATTTGGAAATGAGCAAAATATTTTTTAAATAATCTTGATTTTCTCAGCCCCATCTCAAAGTTTTAACATCCTTCTCATACATGCTTTTGGTATCACACACCATTCCTTGATCTGGGCTTCTCTGCATGAGGGATGCTATATAAAAGCAAGGTGTAGATCAAAAGATTTGAATGTGACCTGTTCTGAGGCTTCTGTCACTATTGACCAATTGACTAGTAACAACAGTCTGGACGATTCACTCTCTAACCCACCCTGCAAGTGGGAAAAATATCTGCTTGTCTACTGTCTTCTTCTAAATCTCTGAATGGGCCTATGAACTTCCTTTTCTTGAACAGTTCGATGTCTTATACAAGCGGAAACCCATTGCCCATTCCATAAAGGTACCAACCCTGCTTACTCAATTCTGTAAAGTGTTAGGCTCAGGTTGGTAAGAGCCAAGGTTTGGGGATGCCAGACTGTGCACTAGGGTATTGTAGTGAACGTGCTATGTTGGGAATTGAAGCACAATTCTGTGGAGGAGGCAGTAGAATATCAGAGCACCAGTCTATTAAGTATTGTTCACCTCTGGAAAAGTGAGTAATGATCTAAAAGAGGCACATTAATTGTAGAAACAAGGTGTATTATCATGACCTGCAGGGTGTTGGGGGGCGAGAGAGGAAGGAGGGAAACTAGTTTTTAACTGTTTGCTGTCACTAGTTAGAACATTTAAATTGAATTGATGTGTCAGGGGAAGCTAGCTGAATTTATATCACTGCGATTAGATGAGTTGGTGACTGGAAGCGGTTTATAGTCTTGTGGCTCTGTTTCTACAATGGGCTTGGAAGATGGAGAACCTATTTAATCACTGTACATTCTTAAATTTATGTATGCCTATACGCATTATTTATACTATATCTATCATATATAATATAAATGCACACATATACATTTAAACAATAATAAATTGGTCATTTTCAATCTACGACTGTTTGTGGGACATTGCTGTGCGCAATTGGCTGCCGCGTTCGCCCACAAATATACAGTCAATTCACTTTACAGTATATTCTGTGAAGTGCTTTGGGACGTCCTCCCGACGTGAAAAGCGCTATATCAAATGCAAGGATTATTATTATTATTATTATTTATTACACTAAATACATGTAAATAAAAATATAGCCATACATATTCTTCAAATATCTCCCCAGGAGATGGTCCCAATGACAATTGATGTGGGCTTGTCTGGTTTCATCTGGATTCACCTCAGGGGTCTGATATAAGCTATTATGATCGTTATTTTAAGTGCATGTTATGCATGGTTGTCTGCCTCGATGTACTTTAAACGTGAAATTATTTCAGAAAATAGAATAATGGACTTTTTTGGTAACCCCCACCTCCATCGATATTTGGAAAGACACTATAATTCCACACAGAATATAATTCCACACAGTGTCATATGTGTCACAGTATCAGAGATCTCCAAAAGTAACTGGGGGATTAAACTTTTAAAATAGCACAGCATTATTAATTTATGACAGCAATACGAGTTTTATGGACAAAGTTAATAAACTTGGAACATATGTTCAGATCAATTCTTCATGTCTGACTGGAAATTTAAAACATTAGCTGAAAGCTAATCACTTGATTTATATAAATAGCCTGATCAGCCACAGGGTTGAACTGACAGTTGCGGGGAAGTTTGCAGGTCACAACTAAAACTCACTCAATATGTGAACACATTTAAAAGCAAGACGAGAGAGAGCAAGCCTAAATAACTTGCAAGAAGTGTTGAACCTTTTTTACATGGCTGTTTCAGGGAGTTATAAATTTTAATTTAACAAAATTAATAATAAAAGTGAGGAAGTCACCTAAAAGGTTTCTAAAAAATAACCTAACAATGTATGTAAAAACCTGCATGCAACAACAATAATGTAAAATGAGCTTACAGCTAATTGTGTTTTGCATGATACCATTGCAAAATTACTGTTTTTTCCCCCTCTACTACATTTTATCTTTCAATTTTTTCCCCTCGACTCCTGAAGACACTTAACTGCTTTTTCCTCTAACTACAGTGCTATTCCACAAATGCCTGGTGATGTCCTCAAACAATATTAATACAAGACCGTTTACCCTTATATGGCCATTGAACAAAGAAATCATACCTAAACTCAATTCCGTTACCCACTAGCCATGACATGGGTTATTCGCCCACAAAATATACAGTCAATTCACTTGACAGTATATTGTGTGAAGCGCTTTGAGATGTCTCGAAGTCATGATAAGGCGCTATAGCAAATGCAAGGATTAACATTATTTCATTAACATTATTGAAATTAATGTTAATGAAATATCACACAATATCACAAAACAGCACACCTGCCATTTGAAGATTTCCTTCTTTCACACATAATGATCACCAGAAGAACAAAGTTGGAGAGTTTTCACATATCACAGATAAACACACAACACTCAGTATTCTTTTTATTGAGGTACTTTTGTACTGGAGAGTCTTGCAACCATAAAACTGCCTGAATGCAGGAGAAACAATAGTCAGCAAGTTTGAGTCATTTCAGTTAACCGATTAATCTTATCAGTTGCTTTGTTGGTTTATAATTTGCTGCTCTTGTTAATTTTGATCTATAATTGCTACCCTGTGGAGTACAACTCGCTGATATTAAAACAGTACTTGCATTTTTAGAGCATCTTGTAGTTAGACATCTCAAACCACTTTAAACTAACTACTGTTAAGTGCAGTAACTGTTTTTGTAGGAAAACACGATTGCTATTTTGCACACAGTAAAGACCCAAGAACAGTGTTGAAATGAATGCCCAATTTTATCTGGAGGATTATTGGCCAGAAAACAAGGAGAAACTACCATCTCATTTCAAATGTGCACCTTCAATATCTACCTGAAGAACAGACAAACAAGACCACATGGGAGTTTAAAATTCTGACCTTGACTAGGGTTCAAGGTATCTATTCCTTTCCTAATAATATGAACCGAACAGAAGAAAACTATTTAGCCACAATTTTGGCAGCAACATGTCAAAACACATACTTTTAACCCGAGATTTCACACAATACTGTAGATTGTTAAAGCAATTAAAAAAGATTTAACAGTTATCAAATTGCTTAACCCACATGCAAAAATTCAACATTCAACATATTTATGAAGTGGTGCATTGTTCTTAGTAAAAATGGTTGCGTACATTTCAAATTCATAGCAATTCCCATTATAGATTTTCTTCAAAAGGTAAGAAAATCATCTGTCTATTTGGAAATAATTATGTTGATCTGCAGTGCTCAATGCATTGTTCGGTATTTGGAACCCAGCCAGAGTGTCCCCCCTGAAAGTGTTACCTGAAGAGTGTTTGCTACTCTTTGCAGCTCATCTACATTCTGTTGTTCAGCATTTCAGCTCCTGTCTATTAGAGTTGGATTAAAAATATCAGTGCCTGTGTCTCATGAATTAGCCCTGACAGATGTACAGATTGAAGGAACGGCTAACCTTCCTCCTGTCCTGCTCTAAAGGAGGGCTGTCTGGCAGCATCAGCTTCAGAAAATCCTCTTTGGAAAAGGTTTGCTGGGGTTTACTGTCAGGGTGCAATTCCCGGGCTGAAGCTTGAAGTTGGCTGGAAGTGGACATTTCTTCCACATCACCGTAGAGCCTCCTAGAGGAAGAAAGAGGTCGTGAAAATCTGATGAATTATAATACATATTTAAACAACTTCATTTCTGTGCATTTCAATTCTCGCACAGTTGTAGCATGCAACAACAACAACAACAAGATTCCATTTATAAAGCGCCTTTCACGTCAGGAGGACGTCCCAAGGCGCTGCACAGTTGGGTCATGACCCGAGCAGGGGGGAAATGGTCAGGGTGAGGGAAGGGAGGGAGCAAGGAGGGGGGAAATGGTCAGGGTGAGGGGAGGGAAGGGAGGGAGCGAGGAGGGGGAAGAGAGTCGAGAGGGGAGCTGAAGGCACGGTCAAAGAGAAAGGTTTTGAGACTGGCCTTGAAGGATAAATGCAATAAATGATGAGGGGGGAATTAATAAAAATAAGACTTGTTCCTTTTAAAATATAATGATAATCCTGGCATTTGGTATAGCGCCTTATCACGTCAGGAGAATGTCTCAAAACACTTCACAGGATTTACTGTGAAATGGAGTGACTGTGTATTTGTAGGCGAACGAGGCAGCCAAATTATGCACAGCAATGTCCCACAAACAAACAGCCAGGAAGCAAATTAGCCAATTTTATTTGGGGGAATGTTGGTCAGGAGACCGGGAGAAACTACCTTCTCTTTTCAAATAGTCCATCTGAACAGGCAGATGGGATCTCGGTTTAATGTTTGTTCCAAAGGATGGCACCTCTGACAATACAATACTCCACCAGTACCCCATTGGAGTGTCAGCCTTAACTGCGAATTCAAAGTCCCGATGTGGGGCTTGAACCTACAACCTTCTGAATCAAAGACGTGAGTGATAAGGCTGAGCCAGGCTGACACACAACAGGCACAAGAACAGAACGCTAATTTCTCTAGTTGTACTCATATTAACTCTCCCTTCTGTCTCATACAAAGGATGGCACCTCCGATAATGCAGTGCATCCCCACCACTTCACTGGAATGAATGTCAGCCTACATTGTTAATTCAAAGTCTCGAGTTCAAAGGCCTAGAACTCAACCTTCTGACAAAGAAATGAGAGTGCTACCAACTGAGTCAAGCTGACAGTCATTCTTGAATCATTTCAAAGTGCAAACCATTTTCTGCTATATATCAATCCATGAGCGGTTTTGTCAGCTGTACAATATGTCTTTGAAATATGACAAAGCTGTCTGTGTAACAAGGTTCCGCTTCATTTAAAGGAGGTACCGAATAAGTAAAAAAACACATGCCTTTTCAGAACTACACGTGATACCAGTCTGCTGATCTCCAGAAGTACTGTTTTCACAGGAATGCAGAAGACTACTGAATAAAAATAAACTACGACTGCTGCTGTGGGAATTTAACTACAATAAATTATTAAATAACACAGCAAGCAAGACCTAATTTGGCATACTTCAATTTGGAGAACTTTGCACTTATTTTAAACACCCTAAGAATATTATAGACTGAGACTCAAAACTGATATCCTATCTGCTTATTCAGGTGGACATTAAAGATCCATTACCACCATTCAAAAAGGGAAGGGAGTTCAGTGTCCTGAACGACAATCACCAGGTTCAATTGGTTATTCACTTCATGGCTGTAGGTCGGACAGCCATGTGTAAACTTTCTGCCTCATTCGCCTAGAAATATTACTCAATGGACTTTACAATAAATTCAGTAAGCACTTTGAGACCTTCTGCGACGTGATACGGCACTATATCAAGCGCAAGGATTTTAATGCAAATTTTCTTGTTCTTTCCAAGTCTGACAATGCAACTTGGGGATATTCTAATTGGTGGGTGGGGTTAAAGGGAAAGATGTTGACAAACTCCACATGCAATTTTTATTTTCTTTGTCCCCAAGTTTAGTATTAGTGGAGCAGCAGGAACAGCTTTCCATAATCCCTGACAATCCCATGGTTTAGGTGCCAGCCTGCTGCATGGTTATTGAACCCTGGAGATACTGTCTAATGAGGTCTTTGTTAGCCAACAATCTGGAAGGGACCTGGCTGATGTTTTACTTTCCCTAGCCCACAAACACCGCAAACATTTTGCACTCCATCACTTGCTGGAGATTAGCAATTGAACCTGCAACCTTCCTGCTTTGTCTGGTTCAGCATTTATCATGTCATACTCTTTGCCACTGAGGCAGGGGGAAAGGTTTAATCTTAAAACTGACCATCTACTGCTGTGGTAGAAACTTTTCACCTTTGGCACACCACCAGAAACAGCTCGAAAAAGATGACCACTATGGTTGCTACGGTCAACTTGATTAAAACTTTAAATATTTTTACCACGGGATGAGCATGCAGCATCCTCAGCTTTGTCTGTGGGAAAACTCTTACTGTTGATCAGTGACAGAGGCTGCCAATAATTGCTTGAAACTGGTTTAGATAAATGAACCAACTCCTTGAATATCTGCCAGAATGCACTTTTTTTAAAAAAAAGGAAATTTCCACGTGTACTTGGGACCCATATATATATATATATATATATATATAACTCGATAATCTGAAGCATGGTAATGTGTTTCCACGTGCATCAGACACCAGACTGACAAAAAAAATGTTTTGAACTTCACCCATTTCAGAAGAACAGCTTAAAAAAAGCTGAAGGATAGCAGAATAGACAATAGGATGATGTGCATGGTGTCTCTCTTCCCCAGGAGACTACTTTTATTTTAGAAATTTGTGATGTTCAGACCCTATGAAGAGATAGAGACAGAGGTGCCCTATATCTGACAAGAGGATCATCTTTAGATAATGACAAGGACAGAATTTTCAGGTTCTCACTGTTTGCATAGATGCTAAATGTTTCCAATCCCACAGAGGAAAAGTGCAAGAAAGGAATAGATCTGACAAGCCGTCGCTAAGGGACACAATGTTTCATGTGTCAATGTAAGAGACGTAACTGAAAGTCCAACTTAACATTTGCAAGTCTCATTCCTTAGTTGTTTTGTCATTCTGTCTTTTCAGAAAAGTTTATATTCTTCATCAGACTTTTTTTTAAAGCAATTCTGCTTTTGCGGTCAGTTTCATGGGATCTAACCCATCAAACATACTGTACTGGAGTATAGTGCGTTCAAGAATAGAAGAAATGATTGAACGTAGGACCTTATGTCATTATTCCAGTTCCCTGGTGGAAAGCTAGATGTTCCTTGAACCTCAAAGGTAATCCAGGAAACGTTACCTAATATTCATCTAGCTTTGTCATACTGCTCTAACCTCCTCTCTGCCACAAACAGAGGTTTGTAAGATGGAATTAATAGGGATGTTTAAAAGACAGATAAACTTGGACTTGGGTAGTATATATATTAAGGGCATAGAGAAAGGGCGGGACATTGGATCAAAAGATCTGCCAAGATCTAATAAACTAGTGCAATAGGATTGATGGGCTGAATAACCTTTTCTTCCCATGTTCCAATGTTCCCATGTTCCTACGTTTTCCTATGGCCCTAGCGTCAGCTGCAGTATCACAGAATTTATTGCATCTCATGGAATACTTGTGCTATTCAGACTATATCCTTATATCCCCCAATGATGTTCCAAAGCCCTTACTGATCCAGTTATCTTTGAAGGAGTTAATCAACTTAATATAAAGTGATTTTGATGCAACTGCCTTCTATACCCACTGAGGAAAAAACAAATATTTAGTCCTATTCAAAGGTTTAGGCTTTGGCTAAAGCCTTTAGGTCTTGGAAAGAGTTGTCGCCTCCCAACTGCGCTCTTTCCTTTCCACCCATTCTCTTTTCGAACCCCTTCAGTCAGGTTTCCGTGCTGCCCATAGCACAGAAACTGCCCTGGTCAAGGTCACCAATGATATCCTGACCATCTGTGACCAGGGCTCCCTCTGTCTCCTCGTCCTCCTCGACCTATCGGCAGCATTCGATACGGTCGACCACGCTATCCTACTCCACCGCTTGTCCTCCCACCTCAACCTTCAAGGCACTGTCCTTGAATGGTTTAGGTCGTACCTTTCTCACCGTCTTCATTTTGTCTCGACGAATGGCTTCTCCTCCACCCCCCGCACTGTCTCATGTGGTGTCCCTCAGGGCTGTGTCCTTGGTCCCCTCCTCTTCACCCTCTATATGCTCCCCCTCGGTGACATCATCCGCAGACATGGGGTTAACTTCCACATGTATGCGGATGACACCCAACTCTACCTTTCCTCCTCTACTCTCAACTCCACGACCACCGATGTCCTGACAGCCTGCCTGTCCGACATCGAGTCCTGGACGAGAGACAACTTTCTTCAGCTCAACGTGCGAAAAACCGAGGCCCTCCTGATTGGCTCACGTCAGCGCCTCCGCACCTCAGGCGCTGACACCATCAGCATCCAAGGCTGCACTCTCCACCTCGCAAAGCCAGTCAGGAACCTCGGCGTTTTGTTCGACCCTGAGCTGTCCTTTCTCCCTCACATCCGCACTACAACTGGCACCGCCTTCCATCACCTCCGGAACATCGCCAGACTACGGCACTACCTCACCCCTCACGCTGCTGAAACCCTGGTTCACGCCTTTGTCACCTCAAGGCTGGACTATGGGAACTCTCTCCTCGCCGGCCTTCCCGCCACCTCCCTCCACAAGCTGCAGGTCATTCAGAACTCTGCAGCTCGTGTACTGTCCCGCACCAGGGACCACATCACTCCCACCCTCGCTCGCCTCCACTGGCTCCCCATCCCCCAGAGGATTGATTTCAAGATCCTCATCCTCACCTACAAGGCCATTCACGGCCTTGCTCCCTCCTACCTCTCCAACCTACTATCCCCCTACCTACCTGCCCGTACCCTCCGTTCCTCTGGCTCTGGTCTGCTCCACGTCCCCCGCCCCAACCGCCCTACCATCGGTGGTCGGGCCTTCAGCCTCTCAGCCCCCAGGCTCTGGAACTCCATCCCCCAGTGCCTTCGCCGCTTCCTCCCTTTCCTCCTTCAAGGCCGGTCTCAAAACCTTTCTCTTTGACCGAGCCTTCAGCTCCCCTCTCGACTCTCTTCCCCCTCCTCGCTCCCTCCCTTCCCTCCCCTCACCCTGACCATTTCCCCCCTCCTCGCTCCCTCCCTTCCCTCCCCTCACCCTGACCATTTCCCCCCTCCTCGCTCCCTCCCTTCCCTCCCCTCACCCTGACCATTTCCCCCCTGCTCGGGTCATGACCCAACTGTGCAGCGCCTTGGGACGTCCTCCTGACGTGAAAGGCTCTTTATAAATGGAATCTTGTTGTTGTTGTTGTTTTTGTAGCCGTATACCCTCTAGTTCTGCTTTAACATTCAAATCAATTGGACTGCTTGCATGTACATTATCCAAGCCTCTCAACATGCTTGGGTCTTTCATGATAATGGTTCTGCGATTATGGGAAACCACTGAGTGAAGGTTGGCATTTCTCCACCAGGAAGAAATGTAAATCACAAAGTTCTCCTGACCACTCTCACACTCTGAGGGCAAAGAAAGAAATCTGCCAGCAGGTTTCTATGGGAACCTTTTGAATAGCAGTCAAAAATAAACCTGCTTTATTACCAGGTGTCCTATCTACCCAGTTAGTCAGGGAACATGATTATAGGATGGAAAGACTTAAAGATTGGGAGAACATTATGTTTAAAATTAGGCAAAACAAAGCAAAACTATTATATTATTTCATCATGTAGATGGATTTGAAAATGTGGAATGTGCTGTCTATGAAGGCACAATCATTTGGGATGTTTCAAAGGGAGATAAATAAGAACATAAGAACAGCTAGATGAAAAAAGACCAAGGTCCATCTAGTTCGCCTTCCACCTTCTTGGGGGTCGCATGCACATATGTCCCAAACTACCTATGTACTATATTTCATAATGTTATTTCCTAAAAGAAAACTATCTAATTTGTGTTTGAAATACTTGGGAAATAAGGGCATTAAGAGGTATGGAGAAAAGGCAAGGAAACTGGATTAAAAAATCTTCCATGACTTAAATAAAACTGGCAGAATGGGCTGAATAGCTTCCTCTGGTTCTCATTTATCACTCTCACTGGTTTCCACCCTTGCAATCTAATTAATCTGGCATTATCCCCTTTTTAATTCCACTGCAAGTCACCTTTCATTTTATTTTGGCTGGTTATAATACTAGATTATCAAGGCCATAGAATCTTCAGTGGCAACATGCCATAGGAATGAGACCTCACATCTCAGTGTTGTTTACCAAATTAAGTGAACTCCCTAATAACATTCAATTTGGTACAACAAAAGTAAACATCAACCATGGGATATTTTAGGAATTGATGCTATAAAACCGCACAATAAGGGAAACATTGCCTTCAGCAGTGCAGTATAGCATAGTTATTCTGTGATAATAATAGCCAGGATTGCAGTAACAAAAAATAAACCTGCTTTATTACCAGGTCTTGGTAGTCTTGGACAAATAAAACGTTGACAGAAAATTTTATATATCCCAAACTAGCAGTGTTTTTGTATAGTTTAATGTACATTTGGAGTTTACGAACACCATCTGTCTGATATAAGCTACTAACATAAGAGCATGTATAGTTAAAAGATAAGAATGCGGATTAGTATAGAAATTTACAACAAACCATCCATTTCACATGGATTCACTAACCAGGTTCTTACCCATACATTCAAGTTGATTTATGAACATTTTGCAACCTGCACATTGTTGTCAGAGTCCAAGCCACTCAGTCAAATAAGGTAAGTTTATGTTCTTTGTGAGATTTGTGTCATTTTTCAAAATTTTGACTTCTTAATTAATTAAAGGGATATAATTTATATCAAACATACTGTACATGAGTGCAATGTATTCAAGAACACAAAAATGTTGAATGGAACTTTGCTTCACAAAAAGCAAGAATATTTCAAACCGGTAAATTGCTTTTTGTTGCCTTAAAAAAAACCACAACTTCATCATTCTAATCATCAGAGCACGATGTTCTGAATTTCAAGAAACTACACAATACTTCCAGCATTCCTTTTCTCTCAGTCACTGACCTTCTACAATCTGCCAAGTCAGACTCCTCAGGAGTGGGGCTTCCATCAGATTTTTTCCAGCCAATGATGTACTTGTTACTTCCAGCCTGTCGATGATATGTTCCTGACAGAGATCCTGCAATCTGCTGGGTGCTGTTCTGAGGTACTATGTAGACTTTGGAAGCATCGAGAGATCCACCAGTTTTAGAAACACGTGGTGAAGGGCTTCCTGAATGATGTGAACCACTACAAATGTACACATAGAGAGAGAATAAGAGAGATCACAGACAACAAATCCAATTATGTCTGTTCCAGAGCCCTAATTACTAACAGGGAGACTTAATTACTTTTCCCTGCAGCAAACCATAATCAAACATGTAATGTTAACATCGAGATCAAAGAACACTTGTAGCTATCCCAACAATCACTGCTTTACTGGCAATACTTAAGAGTTAATTAGGACTCCACCAAATGCCTAACTAAATATCAATAACAATTCACCACATAATAGTGTGCTGCAGAATGTGGTCAACTTCTGTATGTATACAATGTTACTTACAACCAGAAAGGGGGACAGGGGGTATAAAATTGGATTAACCTCCAATAGTAGATGACTGCCATTACCAGCAGGGTTCAGGGTAAACTCAACTATACTGTTCAATCTCAAGGAGCTCTTTTTATATTTTAAATCAACAAATTGTTTTCAGAAAAGAAGTTTATCAATCCGGTGGTAGAAGCTTACACAGAAACATTTTAAATTGAGTATTTCAAAGGTATAAGAAAAATCAATTTATTTTAACTTTTACATAGTGAGAATGGTGAGAAGTGCATTTGAGTTGGTTGGCTGTCATATTAGTATTAGTCTCCTACCCCGGCTTAGCGTTCCATGCTGTATTAGTGTATCACCTTAGGTTGGCGTCCAACACCAGACTAGAGTTATGATAATTAAACTTCACCTGGAATGTGATGAAATTTCGCTAAGATCTCCAGTACTTCCTTCGGTAGCACGACTTGCTGAAATAGCAGCAGCATAATTGTGGACAGCATACGACTTAGCTTGTCCATCGTCAGTCCCTCCATCTTCAGAATGCTCTACCCATTGCACCATCTGATCTGCCCGACTCGGAATCACTGATCTGCTGCCCGCCAAGTGAACTGTGCCCATCAATGAAGGTGGAATACAGGGCGCTGTGTCAATCCCACTGTCGGTGGAGGCCCCCTTGATGTATGTCAATCCAAGTAATTCTGGATCCATCAAGTCACTAGAACCAAACTGTTTATCATCACTATTGCTGGATGCATTACTTGACAGAGTATTACTGCTGGAATGACTTGAACAATTGTTATCTGCAATCTAAAAATAAAGAGGAATAAGAGTACATAATGTGAGAATAATGGCTTAACGTTGCACTTAGATGTTTAACCATATGCACTTAGCTGCAATTACAGTTTCTACCCTAATAAGCAGTGTGTCAACAGCAAATCTGAGTCACACTCTCATGACAAAATTAATAGGTTCTCTTTATTTTGCCCTGAGCATCAAGAGCAAAAATATTATAGCTGAGCATCAACTTGCTAATAATTAGTGTAGTGTTAATAATTTGCACTGTATCCGTTCAATTTGGGTAGGAGGTTATGAAAACACATCGTACTTAGCACTCATTGGAAAATACTTATACTTTATTGCTCAGTTTAAATAGACTTCTGTAAGCTGATCTCTTCTTTTACAAATAGGAGTTCAGTCCTTCACTATTCCCTTTTCCATTCAAAAAACATTAATTGCACAAAATTAATCTTGATGTAACAATCAAGGAACTATACTTAAAATGTTGCTTTAACCTGACCTCAGACGACTTTATAAAGGGAAATTGTAGCATTAAGGCATTTTACAATTCCATTCCTTGGTACTGGCTTCCGTTTGAGACAAAAGAGGTGAAATTCACAGACTATTTTAGTCAGCACTATTGCTTTCATTGGAGGCAAAAGTGAAATGCTCATTATTGTTGCTAAAGTACAATTAAAATATACCTCCCAATCATTCCAAATGCTTGCTTTTTGAAACAATGTAAGCACAGCTCAAGTTCAATGTGCTACGACAGAATGATAATTTACATGTAGTAAATTCTACAATACGTACATTTCCTAAAAAACAGCTTTTCAACGTGGCATGAAGACTTAATAGTAATTGGGCTAATTTATACACTGACTGTTTTTCTCGCTATCTAATATTAAAAACTCTGATCTCTCTCATTGTCCAATATTTTACTGTATTATTACTAAACACTGACTAGAACGAACTGTCATTTCTACCCCTACAGATTGACTGTACCTTTGATCGAATCAGACCTGTACCCCAGGAAGTGGCACTCAAAGCTCCATGTTATGTGGCGGCAATAACAATGCACCTGGATGCCTTTGGGATAAACCACTGTATTAAAGTTGGGGTGTGAGGGAGATGAATGCTCACAACCAAAACCAGTTGAGAATTTTTGACTGGTTTGGACTACAATTTTAGCATTGTGATAATTACAACCAGTGATGACCATTACAGCACATGACCCACTTTTCACCATACATCTACAGATTCTGTATAGCACAAGGTTTATAAACTATATGATTTACCAACCGTTTTATAAACTATGTATAAACCTTCATGTCATGACATAATGTCAATGGAATTTATGGTGGAGCAACTGAAAGGTCAATCTCTGTGGATTCCCTCTCTCCCCACTCCCACCCAGCTATTACTATTATTTAGCTATTCTCCAAAAGCCGAGGAGACAAATTCAGCAGCAAGGAGAACTGCAGCATGTCAGAACTTAAACTAGCTTCCGCAAAGATATACAGATTTGTTTGCAATCCAGAGGGTGTTAAATTAATCTTACGTGTAAATTTTTATTTGGAGATTCTTTGCCGGCACTTTCCCTTTGGAGACCTTTGTAGGAACTTAAGATCTTGGTTGAAGGAACATGCCATCTCGCTTCTGAAAGAAAAACATTTTTACAATGTTTTTCAAGAGAAAGGAATTGGTAAATGTCACATGACAGCAGATGTCAAAAGATGTTGCAAGTCAGACCTTGTTGGCAGCACATAATTTACTCTACCATAAAGGGCAGAAATTATCTACACATGCTGCATTTAAGGCAAGAACATTCAAAGCTCAATATTGTGACACTAGATTTACGACCTTGACATTTCAGTAAAGATGTACATTTCCAAATCCATTTGCTGAAGTATATGCCTTAAAACTAACACCAATTGAAGGTTGGCTATTTAAATATCAAAACTTCTTCCAAAACATAATGCTCTCATTAAATTGCTTTATTTTAACACAATGCTGAAACACAAACCATTGGTACTCCAGAGCTAGTACGCACAGAGCTCACTATCAAAAAGTTGCTTGAGGTACTGTTGTGGTGCTGTAAATTAGTATTCCCATTGCATTGTACTAGTCTGGTAGAATATGAGCTGCCTCTGCAATCCCCACGATTGTGGGGAGGCACTCACTGGAGTGCCAGGTAGGAAGGAATGCCAAGGTAGCAGTGCCCACCCTCATTCCTGCTTGTCCCTCGCCCCCTCCGCTCCACTATTAGAGGTTGCACATTCAGCCCCAAAACTCTGGAACACTCTCCCTCAATCCCTCCGCCTTGCTCTCCTTTTTCAAGTCCTGCCTAAAAATCTTCCTTTTCGACCGTGCTTACGATCACCTCCACTCCCCCGGCTTGGAGTCAGGTTCCCCCACTGTTAAGTGCTCTGAGACGCTACCCGGTGTGAAGGGTGCTGTATAAGTGTAAGTTGTTGTTAATGAGAGTGAGTCATTTTCCAGCAGCTGACTCAAAAACAGGACTATCCATGATTGTTAACTATAATATGATTCCCAGTCATATCTTTGGACACACAAGTCTCAGTCTCCTGAAAGAAGTACCCAATGAGACCTGCTGTACTTAAGCTAAACATTTTCACAATAAACTATAATTGAGTTCAGTTGAGTTCAGATCCCTAGACATCATACTCAAGCTATATAGTGCTCTGCTCAGGCTGCACCTTGGCTACTCCATACAGGTCTTGCTGCTGTAACATAAGGGGGCTGCCCAGACTGAATAGGCCAGAAGAGAGATATAAGGATACATTCCAGTGTTACAAGAATGAGCTATGAACAACAATTAGACAAACTATGGCATTTGTAAGAACAATCACATCTGATACAGATCCAATCCTTATTCCACATCCTGTACCATTTCAGAGCAGTGATATAAATGTACCCACAAGCAGAACAGATTACTTTGTAAAATAGATCTTTACTTGAAATCCTGTAGACTTTTCTGGCAGGATGTCTTTAGAGCAGTCCATTTCTCAGTGAAGTAATCCTAGCATTACTGCAGACATACTAAGACTGAACAGTTTGCAAGGCCTCTTTGTTGCAATGACACCATCATAAACTAGTCTGTTCTTTGTACAATACTACTTCCACAAGATTGCAAGAAAAGTTCAGATAAAGAAGGCTGATTTGGCCAATAGTCCTCATTCCTTAAGAATATCACCTTCTCCAAACACAGGATTTAGTAATTTCCTCTTATTTATTTCCAGCTGAAACTCATTATTATTTAGTCGATAACAAATATTCCCGCTGTATCTATTGCTGACATGTGTACAATGTATTGACTTTACTTTGACATACTGGCCCCAAATTCTGGCAGAGGAGTTAATAGTGGAATTGTTAGTTAAGCAACACCATACAAATCTGAATTAGATCTAGTTAACTGTTTATTTATGGTCAAACATAACTTTGCTCTCCAATTTCCACATCTTTGATCTGCATTAAGTCACTTGTTCTTTTACTGCTGTTTGAGTTGGGGCTAACATTGTTGGTTTGGAAAGAATTTAAAATGAAAAGTCAAACATTTCCTTCATCATATCCATACATTTACATCTGTTCGAGACCAAGCTGCCGGGTGCACATGCCACTACCACTTATCTCTGCTGTACTCAGACCAGAAGTAGACTTACAACAATGGCTAAGCCCAACACAGCAGTGCATGTACCCTTTGACACTCAAACCCTGTAGACATTTAGAAACTATGCTAGGCTTTGATTTGTTTGTTTGATTTGTTGCCAGTTGAGAACACTACCAACTAAGCTAGGCAGGTGCCTAAAGATCTCATAGCACGATTTTGAAGAGCACAGATTTTTCCTCACGTGCTTGCTAATGTTCTTCCCTCGCTCAAAATTCATCCAATATAGATGACTTAATGACTTATTGAGTCATATATTCGATTGCTTTTGTAGAATGTTGCTGGTGCAAAATAGCCATCATATCTGCAATGAAAGCCATCAATACACTTCCAAAGTATCTCACTAGTGAAGCACTTTGACTAAAGGCTTTATATAAAATGACTAAATTATTATTATAATTGCTTTCAAACACTTACCAACACTTCTGGTTCTTTCTAATGTTCCATCTCTTTCTCTTGGTCCATCATACTCTGTTAGAATACTGGTTGAACCTTGGTGATCGTGCAGAATAGGTGATTGACACCTTAGAATATAAAGAGAACATTGTGCACTAAATTAGCAGATAACACCACAGCATGAGTAAATGATTTCAGTAGAGATGGGGAGAAAACTGGATGGGGCAAAAAGTATTTGATTCAAATGTTGAAATGGCCATTTTGGCTTCCCATGCTTAAAAATTGTCTGACTTCCAGTTCATTAGGTTACTATTACCATCATTTCTTGCTAGATAAATGCCAGCAATTGCAAACTGTTTAAAAAAAAGGATTTTTTTCCGTGATAAAACTGATCCATCTGTGTGTGTCTCCTTTCCTTGCAGTTCCTAGGCTTACACGGTGTGATTTTCTCAGGTTCCCCTGAGTTTGTCCCATTAAAAAAAGTGAAAAATATATACTTTATAATTGTCTCAAAAAGGGTAAAACTACCATAAATTCAAGATGGGTGCCCAAGCTTGAATATGTATTTTGTAGAAAAAAACATAAAACTGCTAAAATCAAATGCTTCTCGACATTTAATATAGTTAGAATTATGTATTAATTTCTTATATGTCTCATTATATCTGTCTGAACCCTCAATGACATTTGTTCCAATTTCCATTGAAATATCCAACAATTCCATCACATCTCATGTACCTGCTATAAAAATTTCTTACAGAACATTAAATATGCCAAAATAATTATTCCAGTGTTGCAATAAAGCCTCAAAACATAACCGTATAAATAATCTTCCAGTATCTTCTGTGAACTTTAAATGACTTCTGCAAAGATGTATTTCTAAGACATTTCAGGTATAGTCCTAGCTGTGTCTTCAGAGACTCATATTGTCAAGGAAATGGTACCTTTTGGATAGCTTCAAGAAGGATTATATTTATCAAACATACTGAACCAGATAGCCTGCAGTCACATTTGGCACGACCTAATTACAATCCTAAATTGCAGATATCTCTGCAGAGTGGTCTAGATAACTGCTCTGAGCGCAGGATTAGCAACAAACCCCTTTAAAGTACAAATGTTTAATATCACTGCTTACCCGTTATAACCAGACTGCTGTCTCCAATGGCTGCTACCACTGGGTCCTGGGTCACTTGAAGATGACTGGTTGCTTGGAGAGTTTCGGTAATGCTGATTGACATCACTGACAGCAGATTGTGGTAGCTGCGCATTTTCTACATCTTGCACTGACCTGGGTGAAAGTGGAAAGCATTGAAATAGACTGCTTTCAGCATTTGGTAAAAGCCACAATAAATAAAGAAGCATCTGTTTTCTACTAGAGACGTGAAGAAACTGTCTGAGGAATTGAAACAAACAACATCAACATAGAACAGAGAGGAAATCAAGGTTTAGTTATTTAGTCACTGAACTGCCATACAGGCACAGTATGATCGTAGAAAGTTTACAGAACAGAAGGGGGTCCTTCAGTCCATCGCTCTGTGCTGGTGCAAGCTACCTCACTGGAGCAATCCACTCTAATCCCATTATTGTGAAAAGCAAACTGAGCAACAACATTGGTCATGCATGGTGAAGAACGATTAGATCAAGTGACATTTAATTAGATGCTGTGTTTTGAACACCCTTAAGGCTTTTACGTCTAATGTCAATGAGGCTTTCAGTATTAGGGTGCAATATTAAAATAATCTAATGTAGATTGTGCATCTCCATTGACAAAACAATAGAAATGTGAAAGGCCAGGTTTGCACGTTCAGTTGTGGTGATATAGGTTTCCTGTGAAGAAATGAATGGTGACAGGTTCCCCTTCAGTCATCACTTCCAATTTCCAGGCGATGAGTGACCTCTGCTCCCAGACCTCTCTGCATGTGATACTCTCATGCTACCACAGGGAGGTGCAGGTGAGCAATCCATCATGACATTGATTTTCTCTCTGAAAAAAGACATATTTCTATATTTTTAAAAGTATATTCCATGTCTCAGTGTTTTGAGATAGAAGGCTGGCCAGCTACTCCATAAATACAAACTTCAGCATCTGCCTAGAATATTGCATAATGCAGCTAACCTATAATAAAATACATAATAATCCTTGCATTTGATATAGCGCTTTTCACGTCTTCTTGACGTCTCAAAGCGCTTCACAGAATAGATTGTAATGTGAATTGACTGTATATTTGTGGGTGAAACAATCATTAAACAATGATTGAAAAATCTAACACACTGCCTGCTTCTAAATAATTCTATTCAACATAATCTGGAGTAAACTATTGAAACTGCTGAGCATAGTTTAAGATTTCATAGTTATACTTGCAGTTATAAGTCAGGCAGAAGCTTAAAAATGTTGAGATGAAGTTCTTGGCTTCACTATAGAACTCCAACCATGCTGAATAGATTGTAATGCAGTCCAAAGGCTCAGTTCCTTATATTACATTATACTATGCTTTTTGTTAAGTATCAATACTTCTAATATATAATATTGAAAGTAAACTGAGTAGCCAATTCTGAAATCATTGTATATTTAGTAGCAAAACATACTTCGCCCTGAACAAAAATGACTGCAAGCATTTCACACACGTAATCTAATTATTTCCTCACATCTAAAAGATAAACTCTTTGCCTTAAAGCAGAAGGTCCAGTCTATTAATAGGTAAAAGAAAGTGCATCTCGCTCTGTATCATTCATCAGAGATGTTCAAAATCCCAATACGAAACTTGACACACTGTACTTAATGCAAGGAACTTCGGAAAGGTTAATGGTCCCAGAGCAATAATGCAACCTGAAGTATTCTAGGAACTCTCAAGGTCAAAAAAAGGAACAAAGGATTACAGTTATCTATTTATTATGGCTTTACTCCAGTAAATCGCAGTTGTAATTTGTGAACGGCTGATTCAAGTGTCACAAACTTGTCCAGTGTATGGATGGGTACGTTGGTCAGAACTCTAGAGAGTGTTTGTATGTGCTGGCATCTACTTCCTTCCAATTCACTTTTTTCACACCGGCCTACAAATAGTCTACAATGTCTACAAATAGACAAATAGGGCGAAACCTTGGGCAAGTTTCCTTACTTCACACACCTAATAATAATCCCTCCAAAACAAAACAATAATAAATGGGTTATTTTCAATCCACGACTGTTTGTGGGACACTGCTGTGCGCAATTGGCTGCTGCGTTTTGCCCACAAATATACAGTCAATTCACTTTACAGCATATTCTGTGAAGCGCTTTGAGACGTCTAGAAGACGTGAAAAGCGCTATATCAAATGCAAGGATTATTATTATTATCAACTTTTAACAACAAAACTTGCATTTATATAGTGTCCTTCAGGCGGGGCAACATCCTGGAGAGCTTTAGGTGCAATTCTTAAATAAATTTAAATAAATTCTTAAATAAATTTAAAGTCAATTTTAAAGTATACAGTCAGTTCACTTTACAGTCTTTTCTGTGAAGCGTTTTGAGACATCTAGAAGACATGAAAAATACAGTATTAAATGCAAGGATTATTATTATTATTCTCCGTTTCCTGCTTTGCTGCATTATAATGAAAGATTGTTTGTTTATCCATTCAAGTGTAGTTCTCTGTTCATCAGTAAATGTACAGACGTTTGCAGGCAAGTTAGTCTTACTCTCCAAGATCAGTAAAAACTACTAACCTTGGCAGATTGGTCTTATAATAGGTGTAACTAATTTATAAACTCACACCACAATGAACTCACTGCACCCTCATACAGAAAGTTTCATTGACATTAAACTTGAAAACCTCGACGACCTTAAACCATAGCATCTAACTAAACATCTCATTCAGTAGATTAAAAACATATTTCGCCCACAAAATACAATCAATCCACTTATGTCGTGAGAAACGCTTTGAGATGTCTCGACAAAGTGATAAGCCTATACAACAACAAATCCAAGGGGTATTATTATTATCTATTGTTTCAATATATTCACCAATAGTTCAAGGATATAACTTAATGTAACTCTTTGTTCCAGTTATATCTAAATTTGCACAACAATTACACTAAATGGAGCATTACCTGTTCTTGTATCAATGTGAAACAGTATCAACATAAGAATACATTAAGAATGAGTGAGAAAGCAAGCAAGATGTCTGAGTTAAACTCACCCCAGCATAATCCTTACAGCAGTGTAACTTGGCAGAATATGGTGCAGCCAGAAGCAACTGTAATAGGAGGCTCATTAATTTGCCCCTCACAGTCTCTAGAAAGTTAAAGAACTAGCAGTGAAGTGTGAATAAACCAGTTCACATATTTTGCACAGTGCAAGATACTGCCAGGATCTCAGTCTACTCTGCACATAATGCCTGTGTACTCTTTGGAATAGACTTCCACATTCAGGAGACGGGATGTGAAAACCTTCAACACTGTGTTCAATGCAGATTTGTGGGAAGGGTACACCGAGGTGCTGAGCAATAACCCTCATGTATAAACATGGAGGCCTGAGTTAAGACTAAGAACTTTAATTGGTGACCTTGTTTCTAAGTGATATTTTAAGGAATAAAGCAATGTAATATTTTTTCTAGTGAAATAAATATTTTATGTACATCGGGGTACTTAATAACCATGTTTCTAAGTGAATGTGGAAAGATACTGATAGTACTAATATTATCTCTGACTGAATACGAAAAGCTACATAAATCATGAGTGCAATTTCTGTCAAAATCAACACATGCTTTCGCCCTGGAGCTCTACTGCAGTTAAACAATTTACAGCTGTTGTTCAGACAATATATATTTAAGGTTGGTAGTCTAATAGGTGAATTGGATTATTCCTGCCCTTGAACCAACATAGATCCATCAGAGTTGAATATGATTAGCAAGATGATGTTACTCCCAGCAGCAAAAGTACTTCTGGTGACATTTTAAAGTTGGGATTTCACCAATATAATAGGAATCAGGAAGGTCATTACCTCACACCTTCTGGCAGCTTTCTGTCAAAGGATGTACTGCGAGGAATAGATGTCTGGACCTGCTGTAACATTTGCTGGGATTGAAGCCTATCAGATGCTCCTTGTATAGGAGATGCTCGTGATAGTGGCTGTCCTGCAGGAGTAGGGACTCTGTGCCACGTGGTATTTCTTCTGAAGGGAGTTTTGAACTCACAAGGGGTGCCTTCATTGTCCACTTTGTACTCAACCATTGGTATCCTGTACAACTCTGAGCAGCCCCTGCCAAATAAAAGCACATTGTTTGTCAAACTCAAAGTAACAATATCCTGAAAACAAAATTCCCACTCCTCCTTCAAAAAAAATTTCGACCTGGGAAAAAAATTGATAGAAATACAATTAAAGCTTGAAGGAGGAAAATAAATGTAATCGCACTGTTAGGTTTTAACAAGACACAGGCCACAGGAAAGTAATAAATCTCTGAGAAACATCCTTGTCTCATTATGTCCTTGTTTTTAAAAGCTTAAACAAAAGTTGGTAACTATCAAATTGGTTTCAGTTGTTGAGATTAGATAAGATTTACCTACAGAAACCCCTTTAATTTCTTCTATGATCAGTGTATCAGATGGTCTTTGTAGGTGCAACATTAGTTTCTAGAATAAGAGCAAAGTCTTCATCTCAGATTCTAGCAGATGTAGACGAGTAATCTGATTGCATTGCCGGGACCAGTGATGTGATTACATAAATGACGTGATTACCTTTTGCATAATTCACAGTAAACCTGGACATCTAGTGCAAAAGATATAATAGCACTCGCACTGACAATATGGCTTGATGACAGACAACAATGACTGCATTTGGCAGAATTGAGGAGATATTTGGTCGAGTCGGTTATTCACTAAAATAAATTTGAAATCTGACGTAGAATATAAAAATGGAATTAGTACTAATTCGTAACTCACATATTGTATTCTCAGTTATATGCAACACGGGCGACAATAATCGAAATAGCAGTATTCCACAACTGCTTCAAAATTACATTTGCATTGCATGTAAGTTAGAGCTAAAGATACCTACCTCTGTAAAAAAAAATCCCTTGAACCACACGTTGTTGTATTTATGTATTATGTATTATACAAATGTATTTGTATACATTTATGTATTTTTGGAGAAAAGTTTAAATTCAGTGCCACCAAATGCTCACTGCTGACCTCTACCCTTCACTCTAGGAATCCCGTAAAACCACAGACAGGAGTTGAGAAATAAAAGGAGAAGGGCACTGGCAAAAGGCATCTTTTCCCCCAAAAGTAGATAGCTATGGATGTTAGGTGCACATAATGAAAGTCTAAATTGCCCAATTTCAGGGTACTGCAATTTTTAAAATAGATTTTTATCTCACTGTGTCTTATTCACAAACGCCTACTGTCACTGCAGGGACTTTGGCACCCAACATATAAAAAACATGCTGTCCTGAAAACAATTCAGAAAGTGGCAGAGTTGTACAAGGATGTGAACTTGACTGTTACTGAGAAAGCGCCAGATTGTTTTGTCAACACTGTTTGCTTTCAGTAGAAACCTTGTCCATGGTGCAAAACTGCACCACAGGATAACTGAACACACATTTTATACACAAGCCATATGCTTCCTAAAGTGTATCTGTTTCTAAATAAAGGCTAGAAAGTACAAACAAATTCCAACTTCCAGAATAACAAGAAATATCCACTTCACACTTAACAGTTGTCATTTCAAGTGCATTAAAGGCACACTCAACTGAAGCACGAGATCACTAAGCCAGATTCTGAAATCAAAACAGGGAGCAGGAGAATATTGTCTTGGCATCAAGGCATGTGGGATATGAAAATGGTTTCAATTGGCCTATGCATGGACCTAAATAAATGGGTAAGCTTTCCCGTGAACAAAGACTACTTTGGTTACCAAAATATAGGATTGAATAAACTTCCTGCACGGATCGCAAATACAAAAAGGACAGAATCCAGAGTAAAATTGTTAGATTTTTTAAAAACAATTCTCCTGCATTTCGTAAGCTTTTTTCATTGATGTTGGCTTCTGCTTACCTCAGCTTTGGTACGTTTGAAACAAACATGCTATTTGTATAGTCTGTGTAATTGGAGTGGACTGAACATTTACAGTCATGTTACTATGGTTATAATGAATCTTAGAGTGTGTTTTATGTTGGAACAGAGGGCAGAGATGATTAAAACACAAGGCACAGTACATTACTATAATTAGCTCAAGGTCAGCTACTGCTCTATTCTAGCATAAAGCATAATAGAACAAGAGCAATCATGCGTTGATAATATTTCCTCAAGTGATGTCACTTCACTATTATAAATGTAGTATTACAGAACTAAGCAATAATGCATACTCCAGGTTCAAACAGTCAGAGTGCTTGATTGTAGTACGTTATATACTAACAGTGCCCCACAATTGATTTTCACCAGAAATGATCACACCCAATTATAAATTTGATCAGCACATTTAAAATGTTAATTATAATAATAATACGTCCTTTTATTTTAAGGAAGGGCATGGGAAATCTTACAGAAGATTTGCCTGAAATGGTAAGTGGTGTATTGACATTCTAGATGTAAAGATATTTCTAAGAAATTTGCCTATCTAATATGCCTGTAAAACATATAACCACCTTCCAGAATCTGATGCTGTTTATCAACTTTATTGTTCACAAAGTGAAATATTTTTCTGTCTCGAGCTTATGTAGAACAATGCATACTGGAGCCAACTTCAAAATATCTAGCTAAAATGTGTGCACAATCATGAATCACACTTAGCTACTTCTATAGTTTTTATAGCATTTCTATAACTACTCCTAGATTTTGACTCGCCTTACCATCTTGAAACACCACAGTGAACAAAGCAAATGCTTATTTCTGCCAAACAGTAATCTGATGCTGGCATTTGTTGTACATCCTACAGTCACTGTATTGGACTCAGATCTATCATGGAATGATTAAACAGGTGTTCAAGTTAATCACAATTCTCTCCAATGGTTTCATTTTTAAAAGAGATTGCAATGGTGAGACTCCCTTAAATGAATCTGTGTATCAGGAGAGATATGTGACAACAATGCAACCAACTGCACTGGTTGGGTTGATGGAAATCTACCACAATCATTTCGAAACAGCTTTTTAAACACGCTAGGATACAGTTGACTACTGTTCTACTCTAGAATAAATCAAGTGGAATAAAAGTTAGCAGCAGTCAATAATAGGAGCATTCAAAGAGATAATTAAAATATGAGTTAATACTGTAAAATAAAATTAATTAACAATTAATTATCTAATAAATAATCAAATGTCTACATCACAATGTCTACAGACCTCAGCCCCTGCCACTCTGGAGCACTTGCCAGGAAGCAACTGACAGCCTGAGGTGACTTGCTTTCTGACGGAGTGCCCAGTGTTTGCTTACTCTGATGCCAGTGCCAAGATTGGAATATCAATGAGGAGAATCGTAGACATGAACCAGTTTTTTGCAACTCCATGCTGCAACACACTACATTAAGAACATACTGGATCACTGCATGCATCAATCAAAGCAGTTACTTTTTAATTTAATCTCACCATCAGGACAGATTTTAAAAAGGGACTATTTTCTAATTATTTGTTTATTTGTCCACTGAGCTCCAGGGAGGTTGTATTCAATACAAGCCAAATTATACTTCATATAGTAATACACTTGTTAGCTTGTCAAGGCATCATTCTAGCTCAGTTGGTAGAACTCCTGCCTCAGAGTCAGAAGGTTGTGAGACACTGCAATGCAGTGCTGGGAACTGCTGCATTGCCAGAGATGCCAGATGAGAGTTAAACCGAGGCCCCATCTGCCTGTTCAGGTGGACGTTAAAGATCCCATGGCACTATTCGAAAAGAAAAGGGAATTTCTTCCAGTGTCCTGGCCAACAATTCCCCAAATAAAATTGGTCAATTACTTCATGACTACAAATACACAGTCCTTTTTCCTACAAATACAGTCACTACACTTTACAGACTATCCTGTGAAGTGCTTTGAGACATCAAGGATTATTATTATTTACTTTGTCTTAGGTCATTCATTTATCAAAACAATTGGGATTCTTTAGAGGTGGAATAACACAAGGAGATTTACCAGAGCTATGTTGCACTAACTGTTAGAATCTGCAATTGATTTACTGGAACTTGAATCAAAATACATAACAGAACTAGTGTAAACACATGAAACACTGCAAGCTCCAAACTACCTTATTGTTATTAGAGGATGTTCTGTGTAATATCTAGTTCCTGGCTGTAGTTCATTTGTATAATGTCAGCTGTGCAATAAGTTTCACAGTGAACACTGCCTACTGCTTTGGGATGTTGTTTTGATACCTAATACTATGAAAAAATGTCATGTGCTTGTTACTGCTGAGTGAAGTACTGCATATGGAAAACAAACACTACTAACACACATACGCTTTTATAGGAGTGCTCATAAAATAAGGATTCTACTAATAAACAATTTTCTTTGTGTTATCATCAATCTGGCATGCGTTGAAAGAGGTTAAATATAACAAATCCATAACATAATACTCTTAATTTCCCATGTGTTTCTGATATACTCCAGTGACAGACTCAACTGAAGACATTCATCAAGGGTAGTATGAAAGAACATGGTGTTTAATAGAGTTTCACAAATTCTTTTTGTTTGGAAATATGTGAATGTGATGGAGTATGTTGCATTGAAATACTGTATAATATTGAAACATGAGGATTATCATGAGAAAAAAAACAGCATTCTTTTGTGTTTTCTTCTTACCCCTAAACAATTGCCAAATTTGTCAAGTATCTTTCACAAAGGCAACAACTTACATTCGCATAGTGCCTTTCACGTCATCTCAGAAGAAAATAGCAAACAACAATTAAATAAAATTTCTTCTCCTTTCTCCAGGTCTCTTATGTAATATACCCATGTATAGAAGCAGGTTAATTGTTACAGTTTGCTGATGATATTTATAATGCAATGTAAATTTACATGTGTATAGCACCTTTCACATCAGGAGGATGTCCCAAAGTGCTTAATAATCCTAGTTTGGCACCTGCTTTTTGTTGAGGGGGGGGGGGAGGGAGGGAGGGGAGGGGAAGGAAAAGTCAAATTGTGGAGCAAATCAAACTCAGGTTTGATAAAAAGATCCCTTTAACCTTGTAAAGGATGTGCTCCTCCTATCCTACTACACACCACCAATTCTTTTCTGTTGTCTATCCTTTCTAATGTATGTGAAACAATCTAGG